GATGTCCCTCTTTAAGGACCAGTCCCTCCTTGCACCATGCCCAAAGTATGTCAGACGAGGCTTCAGAATCCTTGACTCCAAGGAGCAGTCCAGCTTCACCCTCTCCAGGGCAAACCTGTTTCTTCGCCTAGCAGTCCATGGTATATTCAACACTCTTCTCCAGCACCACAGCTCAAAGTCATCAATTCTCTTTCTATCAACCCTATTTACTGTCCAACTCTCTGATGCATAGCACATAATTGTGAAGACTATAGCCCGGATCAGATGCATCTTAGTCTCTAGCCTGACGTTGTTGCTCTTCAGTACTCTTGAGAGGTCCCTCACAGGCAACATTCCCAGTGCAATTCGTCTCCTGATTTTCTGGCTGCTGTTACCATGAGTACACACACAAAAAATAACTTAAAAAATAAAAAAAAAAAAGACAATGCTTGGGAAGGTGGAATGTCAGTGAAAAAGAGTAAGACTCTCAACAAGATGGACTAACACGGTGACTGAAACCATGAGTGTGTCAGAGAACTCAGAGATGCTGAGAGTGGTACAGCCCAGGGAAGGGTTCGGATCCTTTGTCGGCATGGTTGCTAAGAGTCTTAGGTAAGTCAACAGCACCTATCAATTTCCCTGGTCATCTTGTAATCTTGTCTGATATGAGTTTAGCTGAGGGTGTGAGCTTTGTTCTAGATTCAAAGGGTAACTAAGGGCCCCAGTCTCTCCAAGTCCACCAATTCCTATTGGACCAGTTAAGCCGGGCCCAGCTTCTTATGTTTTGTAGTTTTGTTCCACATTTCCTCCTACTTTATCCAGGATTTTTTTAAAATTGTGTGTGTGTGTGTGTGTGTGTGTGTGTGTGTGTGTGTGTGTGTACTGTCAAATTGGATCTGATTGGTACAGGAGGAGATTGCCAGTCCTCCAGCAGAGCATCTGGTGGATTTGAACCACATATCTCCTGGATTGCAGTGCAGCTTCTTGCTACCAGGCCACCAGAGCTCCCTTTTTATCCAGGGTTTTTATTGACATCATCACCTTTGATAGATAGGTGTTATTTCTTTGTGTAGAGATACCATAATTCATTTAGCCATTCTTTTATTGATTCTTGATTTTTAAAAATCAGTGTAATTCAGTTGGAAAGAATAGTCAGGTCGACAAACGGAGCTGAACTATTACATATTCTTTTAGTATTGGGGGAGAAAACTTTGATCCCTGTCTCATACTAAATCAGAAAAATTTTAACATAGTCACAGCTGTATGTAGAATTAAAGGCTATAAGATAAAATCTTAATAGCCTTTGTTGTTGTTATGTGCTGTCGAGTCGCTTGCGACTCATAGCCACCCTATGTACAACAGCCCTAAACTCCGCTCTGTCCTGTGTCAATCGCACTGTCTCTGACACTCCCATCCCAATTATCCCAGTCACTGAATCAATCCCCCTCATAGAGGGCCTTCCCCTCCTGCGCTGTCCCTCCACCCTCCCAAGCATGATGTCCCTCTCCAAGGACCGGTCTCTCCTCACAACATGTCCAAAGTATGTTAGACGGAGCCTCAGAATCCTTGCCTCCAAGGAGCCACCCGGTTTAACCCTTTCCAGGACAAATCTGTTTGTTTTCCTAGCAGTCCATGGTATTCTCAATACTCTTCTCCAGCACCACAGCTCAAAGGCATCAATTCTCCTTCTATCCTCCTTGGTCATTGTCCAACTCTCTGATGCATAACAAGTGATTGCGAAGACCATGGCCTGTATCAGATGCACCTTAGTCTCCAGAGAGACACCATTGCTCTTCAGTACTTTGGAGAGGTCCCTAACAGCAGACTTTCCCATGGCAATGCACCTTTTAATTTCCTGGCTGCTGGTGCCAAGACTGTTGACTGTGGAGCCAAGCAAACTAAAGCTGTGTACAATCTCAATCTCTTCACCATCCATCCTGATGCTGCCAATTGGTCCAGTGGTGAGAATCTTTGTCTTCTTGACATTGAGCCTCAGTCCATACTGTAGGCTGCAGTCCTTGACCCTCTGCAGCAGGTGCTTCAGGTCCTCTTCAGTTTCAGCAAGCAGGGTTGTGTCATCTGCATAATGCAGATTGTTGATAAATTCGTCCACCAATCTTGACCCCACATTTCTCCTCATAGAGCCCAGCCTCCCGGATAATCTGTTCTGCATATAGGTTGTTTCTTAAATAAAGTATAGAAAGCAACAACTATGAAAGAAAAAAAATGGGTAAACTGAATTTCAAAATTTAAAATTTCTACTCATCAAAAGTTATTAAGAAAATTTAAAAGCAAGCCACAAATTAGGAAAAAAAATATTTGACTCATATCTAGAATAAGGAGCTCTGGTGGTGTAGTGTCTCAGATGTCGTCCTCAAGGTCAGCTGTTTGAATCCACCAGCTGCTTCAAGGGAGGAAGATCAGATGTCCCCTCCCATCTTATGACCTCAGGAACCTAATAGAAGGTGGCCAGAAGTAGAAATTGAATCAGAGCCCGTGGAGTTTTTTAAAATACGTATATCCAGAATACACAAGAGTTTAGATACCTCAATCATAAGACCAACAACTTAGTTTTAAAGTGAGCAAAAGTCAACACTCTTGGTAACAGCAGCCAGGAAATAAGAGACGAATTGCACTGGGAAAGTCAGCTGTGAGGAACCTTTCAAGAGTACTGAAGTTCAGCGACGGCAGGCTGGAGACTAAGGTGCGCCTGATCCGGGCTATAGTCTTTGCAGTTACATGCTATGATCAGAGAGTTGGACAGTGACTAGGGATGATAGAAGGAGAATTTATGACTTTGAGCTGTGATGCTGGAGAAGAGAATGCTGAAGAATATACCATGGACTGCTAGGAAAACAAACAGGTTTGCCCTGGAGAGGATGAAGCTGGACTGCTCCTTGGAGTCAAGGATTCTGAAACCTCGTCTGACATACTTTGGGCATGGTGCAAGGAGGGACTGGTCCTTGGAGAGGGACATCATGTTTGGGAGAGTGGAGGGATGACTCAGGAGAGGAAGACCCTCAATGAGATGGATCGATTCTGTGAGTAGAGCGGTGGGAATGAGGGTTTGAGACGGCGAGGTTGGCACAGGACAGAACGACGTTGAGGGCTTTTGTACACAGGGTCGGGTCGCCATGGGTCGCAGACGACACAATGGCACATAACAACAACAACAACAAAAGATTTGAACAGACATTACCATGAAAAATGTACAAGTGACAAACATGAAAATAAGTTCAGCATCATTACTTGTTGTTGCTGTTGTTGTTGTGTGTTGAGTCAGAACCTACCCAAAGGTAGGTCTAGCGTTTTTTCAGGACCGATCAGTCGCTCCGGAGGAGACTGCGTGTCCTTCCTCAGCAGAAGGACGTGTGCCTTTGGGATTGCAGCACAGCTTCTTACCTCGGCCACCAGAGCTATGTGATTTGGGACCTCATCTGTAGAACAAAAGCCTGCCTCGGTCAGGAAATAGGACTGACTTGTGAGTGGCACCGTGACACCTTCTAGGGTGAAGGGAATCTGCATCTTTTTTTTTTATGTATGTAATTGATTTTCTTTTTTTTATTTTATTTTATTGTTTTTTTGTTAGTGTACCGTCAAATCATATCTGACTGGTACAGGAGGAGATTGTCCCTCCTTTCCCAGCAGAGCATCTGGTGGATTCGAAACATGTGCCTTGGGGATTATAGTTGCAGCTCCTTGCCACTAGGCCACCAGAGCTCCCCCTGATTTTCTTTTTGTGTTGAGAACATATACTGGCTCAGCAATTTCTACACACAGCTCAATGACATTGATTTCATCCTTTAAATTGTGTACTTACTACTCTCACCCTCCTTTCCACGTTTCTTCCCTCACAGTTGATTTTACAAGTTAAACTGAACTTTTTGTTCCATTTTTAAGAAGTTTTCAGGGGATATTTTTTATTTAAGATTTAAAGAGTATCTTCCGTTAGAATTTAAATTCTCTTCCACATTTCCTTCTTTTCAGTCAAGATTCTTCTGTAGACTCTTTCATTAAAGTTTTCCGTAATGGACATGGGTTGGGATAGGGTAGGATAAGAGTGAACACTGAGTGGGAACAGATGAAGGGAAGAACTGTCTGAAGGAATAATTAGGTATTGTGTGTGGGACAACAGTCTGGAACAAGAGGGCATTATAATGTGGACTGGATGAAGGGGAAGGGAGGGCGAGGAGGAAAATGTGCAACAATGAATGAATGGAAACCCAACCTTCCTGTAAATCTTCGTTAAAATAATATTTTTATTTCATTTTATTATTTTGGTGTGTGTGTACCATCAATTTGGACCTGACTGGTACAGGAGGAGATTGTCCCTCCTTCTCCAGCAGAGCATCTGATGGATTCAAAAAAATCATAATTTTGTTTGTTTCCTCCTCTTTTTTATTTATTAATTTTCATGAAAGTTTACAGAGACTTAGGATTTCCAGTCATTCATTGTTGCACTTTTCTCCCTGACCACCCCCTCTCCCCCCAAGTCACTCTTCTCCTTGAAAAGAAAAACTCTTTCATTGTTATGCAGTCCCTACCCCCAAGTTCACTTCGCTATGCAGGAAAAATCCCAATTTAAAAAAAAGAAAAACCCATTCAGTAATGGTAGTCATATTTTCTAGACAAAGGAGACAGTTATTCACCTAGTAATTAGAAATACACTGCACCTTTCTTTGAGTGGTCATTATACACGTCTGTGAGGGTTTGGCCGTGTTCATTGAACCATACGTATCAAGAACAGGGGGGCTTTTTTCTTTTTTTAAAAAAAATTAAAAGTTTTTTAAATTTTACTCTGATCTGTTTACAAAGTTTGAATGCGTTGTTTTTCACGAACACATACTTTTTATTGCATGTATTTTATATCACAACAGTGGACTGGAAGTGATTTCTGATTTGTGACTGCAGTTTGTTTCTCTGATCAGAAAATGATTGGCTGGACATTTTCCCAAGCTGCTTCTAGTTCTGTGGTGATTCTCTCTCATGGCATAAGTGACTCTGCTGTCCCTGATTTCCAGGTTGGAGCTCTACGACATGACCCAGTCCAGAGTGACCTTGGGGGCTCTGCGTGGGTCTGAGAAGCACCAGGTCTTGGTCTGTACGGAGCTGGTGGAGCCATTCCAAGCCCAGGTGGGCTCCCTGTATATGGTTCTTGGGGAACTCGATCACCAGAAAGGTAAGTTGGGACCTCTGTTCCCTTTCGCTCTGTGTCCTGAGTTGGGGAAGACTTTCGGGTGACTTGGTTAGGGATGACCTGACTTGCAGTATGTCCCTCGTCCACGAGTTCATGGGAAACAAGCATTCTGCGGAGGGTCTCGGAGTGGACCTGCCATGTGGTCCCACGTCATGAAAGGAGGGGTGATACACAGGTGGTCCCTGGGGGAGGTAGGAAAAGAGGGAGAGAAGAGTCCTTAATGGAGGCCTGTGACAAGCCAGGCCTGAGCTAGCTGGCCACTTAGATCTTCTTGGTGTTATTCTTGTGTAACATCAAGTTGGAACTGACCCAGGTGACCGCTGGTTTTTCAGAGGCTGTAAACCTCATGGGAGGAGAATGCCCGTCCTTCCACACAGCAGCTGGTGCATGCGAACCTCATGTCTTAGCACGACTCCTTACCTCCAGGCCCTCAGAGCCCCCTGAATCTGCATGGTAGTCCTAATGTGAGTCTTACTGCTGATGTTACAGAGAGAAGGAAACCAAGACTCATATTGTTGTTGTTGTTATTGTTGTTGTCGTGTGCTGTCAAGTTGGAACTCACCCACAGCTGACCCTCCGGCGGGTTTACAGAGGTGGTAAATCACGTGGTAGGAGATGGCCCATCCTTCTCCCTCAGAGCAGCTGGTGGATTCGAACCACATGCCTTTGGGATTGCAGCACAGCTTCTTACCACTAGACCTCCAGAGCTCCCTGAGATGGGACAGGAGAGGAGTTTATACTCAGCAGGTAGGAAAAGTAGAGGAGGTAAAAAAAGAATGAAAATGCTTCCTCCTATACGAGAATTCCCGCCAGCTAACATCCTTGTGCATTCAGTCCATTTTCCATTTTTTTTCTTTAGGAGAGTTTTTGAAAAGTTGAAATGGCCAGATTAAAGATTACAAATATGTGTACATTTCTTGATATTCATAATTTGGTTTCTAAAAGACTGAGCAGCTTTTAACTCTGAAACATACCAGCTGAGTGAAATGTAGAGGGGGCAGCAATTAAGTGATATTTACTTTAATTAAATATTATTTCATTTAAAGTTAATCTTTATTCAGGCTTAAACCTTTAAGCCCGCAGAGTCCCGGCCCTCTTAATTGATTTTTGAGAGCTGAGGGTGGGGAGCAGGGAGGGGTAGGGGTGAGTCCAAAGGGCCTTGGCGTGAATAATTCCACTCTGATTGTGAGCCACAGCCGCGTGGCCTCCCAGGTCTACCAGGTCCCTCTGGGGAGGCGGGCTCCTCGGGAACCAGCTGCCCTCATCCTACAGCTTGTAGCCCAATTCCAGGCGCAGAGAGGGGTTGGAGATGAGCAGGCTCCGGAGTGACATTTGAAGGTTTTTATAAGAAGAAAAAACCTTTAACATGGAAATTCAGGCCAAATGATTTTCTTTTTTTAATGTTTTCACACAAGCATAGGCAAACGTTGGGAGGATGATACAGAAAGAGTCCGGAGACCATCCCCCAATTCAGCTGTGCTCTTCACCCTAATGACGCATACAACCCTTAGTTAGGGATTTTGCTAGTATATTTTTTTAGCTTTTACTTTCCTTTTTTATATTTTCTAGTGTATTTTTTCCCTTTAACCAATGCCTAAGATATTTATTTTTATACATTCCATTTCCATTTTTTTTGGTAAATACTTTTTTTTTAATATTTTTTTTAGTAATTTAAATGAAAGTTCGCAGACTTAGGGTTTCCAGCATTCATTGTTGCACTTTTCTCCCTATCCACTCCCTCCCCCCAAATTTTCTAGTGTATTTTAGAGAAATCTAAGATGTCTTCTGTGCGTGTGGTTTTGACTCCTCAGTTCCTCGCCTGGTGTGCCTGTACCGTGACCCTGTTGTCATCCTCACACCCAACAAAATTAATAACCAAATTAAGAGCAATTCCGTAACATTCTGATTCCTCCATTCTAGTAATTTCTAACGGTTCTGCCTTCCTTAAAAAAGAGCTCCTTGTTGGCGAGGGGAACCTCCTCAGGGCTGCACCTCCATCCAGCAGGTTTGGGGGGCTGTACCTCACGTGGTGAAATGACCCATCTTTCTCCCAAGGAGCCGCTGGCAGATTTGAACCCAGAGCGGCACTGCCTCTGTGTCAGCACAGCTCTCTGAGGACGAGGCGACTAGAATGAACCCAGACCGGGGCCGTTTGTCCTGTAGAACTTTTTAGAAGCCGGAATCGCCTGAGAGTTTTTGTGGTCGCTCCTCTCCCCTTGTTATTTCGACACGGTGCTTTGAACATCATCATCCTTGCCATCAGCTGTCGTCAGGATGGCCTGCCTTGTGGTGACCTGCCTTGTGGTGACCTCCTGTACAGTGGACCTAACTCTGCCCAGCCCTGGGCCGTGCCCACAGGCAGCTGGGGACTGGACCATTCTGACTCATACAGCTTCCTTTTTTAAAGAATATGTTACTGTGTTTTCACTGGAAGTTTCCATTTCTCCTGAATGTAATTCATCTTTCTAGTAGGGACTGTCTCTCGGGGACACTGAAGTCATTGAAGAGATGTCATTCTTTTTAGAAGAGCCACGGTTATTAAATGCAGGAAAAGTGATTAAGCTAGAGCCTTGTCACATTAAAAGTGCCTGAATGTCGTGGATCCAGGGAAGGAGCCCTAACAGCACTAAAATCTCTGGGTGAAAGGCTGATGGGGGTTCAGGTAGAGGAGGGCTCTCCACCCTCTCTGACCTGTTTGGTCATGCCCAACATTGCACACCGTGGACAGCAGGTGCTTCTGCCTCAGTGCACCAGAAAGTGCTCTGGCCCCAGAATTAAGGCCGAACCTAACTGAGCCTCAGAAAAACAGCATTCTTAGTCAGCCCAGCCTGGTCTTCTCACCACGACCTACATTTCTCTCATTTAAATAAGCACTTTTCTTAGTTGACTTTCTGAGCTACGCCTACTCCTCATTCCCCACCTGAATGGAAATGGAAGATGGTGAGGTGCAGGGCAGAAGGCAGGCTCCAGGAGGAGCCTGGGCTCTTGTATTTTTTTGTTTCTGGCCCCAAGTCCTGTGGGGAGTGCAGGTCTGTCAGGTGTGGCTCCTGGACACTTCTGAGGACAGATGGCAGGCCCCTGAAGCCACCTTTCTCGATTTTTGCATATGGAGCTAGTTAAGACTCAGGAGGTAGATCCCGCCAGCCTGTGATGAAGCTGTCTGGGTTTGCCACCTTTCAGTGCCCTTGGAGCTCAAGAGCTTCCTGTTCAGGGCCTCTGGCCATGGTCTTGACCTTGCCCCACCTCTGTGCACAGGCCCTCCCACAGTGCCCACGAGCCACACTGTAGGGGACAGGAGAACAGTTCCCACCATAAATCTCCCAGCTCCATGTCCCCTGCCCAAGCTGTCTCCAGCCCTCTCTCTGGATCCATTGCATCTTTCAAGCCTCCTTGTTATGCTCTCGCCTTCTCTGGAACTTTCCTGAAACCTGGCTGTCCCCCAGCACAGCTCTTGTCTCCCAGCCTCCCATGTGGAACCTGTTGGGCTTCCCAAGCTTCACACAAGTCCAGCAGCCAGAGGCGGGGTTCCGAGGCCTGCTGGCTCCTCTGGTTTTCATTGAAACCTTTCCCCTCCGAGGCCGAGGCCGACCAGTTTGCCGAGGCACCTCTGCCCCACTTCCTCCTCACCCTCCCTCACTCTCGCCACACCTTGACTCTTGTCTTCCCCACAGCTGCCCCACCTCTGATACTTGACACACAGCGCTCCAGGCTTCTGTCCTTCTGCCCTCGCTGTCCCCAGAAATCTTCCTTCAGCCTGACCTGCACCTTGTGAACTTTGGCCTGACCTCTCAGTTCTCCCATCAGCTTCACTCTTGCTCACTCTCCTTGGGAATTCCTGAGCATTTCTCCAGGACAGCAGAGTTACTCTCTGGGTTTCCAAGGCTGTGCTCCTTTCAGAGACAGGCTGCCGTGTCCTTCTCCCAAGCTTTGACCACTGCGCCACCAGGACTCCTCTTGGGAGCTCAGATCCCAGAAGTCGTTGTGCTCAGACTCCGTGGGGCTTTTTGAGTGTTCTCCATTTGCTGGTCCAGGTGAACTCAGAGAGGGTGGAGGCTGGGCTTGAACCGGGCAGAAGTGAGGGAAGGAAGCGCCAGGAGCAAGGGAAAAAGACCTTCCCACCCCAGGAAAGTGGTTCAGACAGTGACACATCCCAGCCGCACAGCAGGGAAGTGAGCATGCAATGCACTCAAGCCTCTTTTGTCTTAAAACAACTGCTGTGACCTTGGCTTTGCCTTTCAGATGTTGGGGCTGTGGTGAAGGCCCGGGTGCTGACATGCGTGGAGGGGATGAATCTCCCTTTGCTGGAACAAGCGATCCAAGAACAGAGGACGTACCAGCAACAGAGGGACAGTGGCCAATAGAAGATGACAGTGCCATCCCCTTCCCATCACCTGCTCCTGAGTCCAGACCCGCAGGAGATGCCCGGAGAACTTGAACTCTTCCCACACTGATGGCTTTAAAAAAAAAAAAAAAAAAAAATATATATATATATATATATAGGTTTATTTACAAAGTTCATATGCATCGTGATTCACACTATTCTTCATTCACATTGTATTTCATACAATCATTCCCGTTCATTATGTTGTCGTGGTGGGTTCCCCCCCACCAATATCCAAAGCATTACTGATCTGGGAGGACAGAGAGGGGGTGTTTCCCCCCATTCATTGTTTTATAAAATTCTTTACCATTGGACTATGCCGACCATTACTCTGTCTTTTCAGGTCTCCACTGGGTCTGTCCCATTTCTTTCACCCCCTCCCTCCAGCCACCAAATTGTGCAACTCTGTCATTTCGCCCCCACCCATCCTCCGCCTTCTGCTCCCAACCCTTTCCCTCTTGGATCTTCATACATGTTTTACTAGTTATCCTTCTATTTTTACAATAATGATCTTTTTTTTCAAGTTTTTGGGTTTTTTCCCTTTTTTAAATTGAGATTTTATTATAAGTTTATAAAGAACTTGGATTTCCATTTATTCATATTGTACAATCATGGTCTTCTGCAGTATTTGTCCTTACGAGACTGAGTTAGTTCACGCAGCAGAATGCTCTCCAGTCTCTCCCAGGTTATGTCCTTATTTTTCTGAATCGTGGCTCTTGGAGCCTTTTGACTGGGCCTCAGAGTGGAGACAAGACTTGCTAACTTGGACCTTTCCTGCACCTGGGATTTCACCAGCAGTGAGAGCCCCAAACCAGGTGCCAAAGCCTGGCCCCCTGTCCGCAGAGGCGGAGCTCTGGGGACAGGGGCCCCCTGCACCCTGGCCCTGGTGTGGACCATGGAGAGTTCCAGAAGGGAACGCCCAGCAGGCGGCGTGCTGGCTGCACGTGTGCACGTGGTGCAGCGCCGGGGAGGGGCCAGCAGGGGGAGTCAGGGACACGCCCTGCCCGGGAGATACTCGTGGACGCCGGGCTTCTGGTGAGTTCAGGGCTGGAGGTCAGGAGGGGGCGTCGGGGGCAGAGGGCCCGGGTGGGGGCCCAGGATTCAGGGGACTCGTCCCCACTGGCCTCACGGGTGGCCGCGCGGCACCACCGGCTGGCTTAGTCCTGGGTCCTGACTGCAGCCCAGGACAGGAGGGTGGCTCCGGAACCCGTTCTCCAAGCCCTGACCTCTGCCCCTAGCTGTCCGCAGGGACCCCTGGGCAGCCCCTCTTGGCAGCCTCCCTGGACCCCAGAGGCTGGGCTTGGCCGCAGAGGGAAGGAGCGCTGAGCGAGGGAAGTTTGGACCCTCGTGCGCACCGTAGAGCGCGTGTGCAGCAGCCTCGCAGGCCCCCCGGGTACAGAGCACGAGGACGAGGGTTCCGGCCTGCACGGGGCCGTGGGCTGGGGGCAGCCTGAGTGGGGAGCAGGTGCTGGATGTGGGGGCCCGGGGTGCTGGGCGTGGGAGGGCGAACGCCTGCGCACCGTCTCTTTTCCTGGGCAGCTCTGCGGTCATGGATGGGTTCCAGAAGGTGGAGAAGATCGGAGAGGGTACCTATGGAGTGGTGTACAAGGCCAAGAACAAGGAGACGGGGCAGCTCGTGGCCCTCAAGAAGATCAGGCTGGACTTGTGAGTGCTGGGCGGGCCCTGGAGGGAGCCCTGGCTGTCCAGGGCTTAAGTAATTCATCTGCTAGACCAGAAGGTGGGCAGTTCGAACCCACAGCCTCTCCGAGGGAAGGACGCTGCTTCTTTAAGATGGAAGCCCCATGGGCAGTTCCAACCTGTCCAACAGGGTCACTGTGGGTTGGAACCAGCATGACATGGGTGGCGTGGAGGTGGCTCCCAGACGCTGGACCTGCAGCTGCCCCGCCCCTTCCCTCAAGAGTGTTACCACCAGCTCCTTTTCCTGGTGGTGTTGGGCAGGCACAGAAGTGGCTTCATCCCCCCTCGGCCCCTCTCACTGCCCCTTCCCTGGCAGTGCCTGGGCCTTGCCCCTGGGCCCTGCTCTGAGAGTGACAGTCACCAAGGAGCCCAAGTCCCCTTTGTGAGAATGGATCACATAGAGTGACACCCTTCAACCCCTCACCACTCCTCCATGAGCCAGGCTCACTTCTCACCTCCAAAAAATTGCTCCCTCTCCTTGACTCCATGCTCCTTGATGTCCTGTCCTTTCCTGCAGGGAGACCGAGGGTGTCCCAAGCACTGCCATCAGAGAGATCTCTCTGCTCAAGGAACTCAAGCACCCCAACATCGTCAGGTGAGTTAGAATGGAGACCGAGAAGCTGGGACAGGTACCCTGCACCCATCCTGGTCCTGCTGAGAGCCGTGTCCTCACCATGTCTCTCTGCCAGGCTGCTGGACGTGGTGCACAGTGAGAAGAAGCTTTATCTGGTTTTCGAGTTCCTCAGCCAGGACCTGAAGAAGTACATGGACTCCACCCCGGGCTCTGAGCTCCCCTTGCACTTGGTCAAGGTACTGAGGGACTGCTGGCAGGAGGTGGTCACCCCCCTCCTTGGCCAGCCCCCTTTCATCAGCCAGCCCTTTTTTTTTTTTTAACCTGCATTATTCACCATTTATTGCCTGACTTTCCTCCTTACTATTCTCATATTTAAGAAATACATAAGTCAGCTGTTAGGGACCTTTCCGAAGCTCCGAAGAACAATGGTGTGTCTCCGGAGACCAAGGTGCATCTGATACAGGCCATGGTCTTTGCAATCACCTGCCACGCATCAGAGAGTTAGACTATGACCAGGGAGGACAGAAGGAGAACTGATGCCCCTGAGCTGTGATGCTGGAAAAGAGCACCAGGAATACCATGGGCTGCCAGGAAAACAAACAGATCCATCCTAGGGAGGGCCAAACTGGGTGGCTCCTTGGAGGCAAGGATCCTGAGAGCCAGCCCTTTCTTATACTCACTGTTCCAGAACTACCTCTTCCAGCTGCTTCAGGGGGTGAATTTCTGCCACTCCCACCGCGTCATCCACCGAGACCTGAAGCCCCAGAATCTCCTCATCAATGAGTTGGGAGCCATCAAGCTGGCCGACTTTGGGCTGGCTCGAGCCTTTGGGGTGCCTTTGCGCACTTACACCCACGAGGTAACGGCTGGGGTGGAAAGACAGTGGCGGCCAAAGCAATGCCATCCCCACTCGGGGCCTCTGATTGGTGCTGCTCTCTGGTTCCCGTAGGTGGTGACCCTGTGGTATCGTGCCCCCGAGATCCTCCTGGGCAGCAAGTTCTATTCGACAGCTGTGGACGTCTGGAGCATCGGCTGCATCTTCGCAGAGATGGTAGCAAGAGGGACAAAACATGGCCCACAGAGAGGCCACGGGCAGTGTCCTGCTGGGGTGGGCATGGGGCACTCTAATACTCCTAAACCAAAACAAACCCTTGCTATAGCGTTGATGCCAATTCATGGCCCTGTGGATAGAGTAGAATCGCCCCAAAGATTTCCAAGGCTGTAAATCTTCACAGAAGCCGACTGCTATGTTTTCTCCTACAGAACAACTGATGGGTTTGAAATGTTGGCTTTTCAGTTAGCAGAGAGTGCTTAACGATTGTGCCACTAAGATTCCCTGATACTCAAACTCTCATTGCTCTTGAATTTCGAACAAGCTCATCGCTGACCCTCCAGCTGGTTTTCAAAGGCTGTAAATTGCATGGGAGGAGATTTCCCATCTTTCTCCTGTGGAGCAGCTGGTGAATTCGAACTGCTTGCCTTTGCATTGGCAGCTCAACTCCTTACCCATTGGACTACTAGAGCGCAATGCTCCTAGGACAGGTGGATTAAGAGGGTTTGGGGTAGTGCAAGCAAAAGCACCACACTTCTAAGAAAGTCTCCCTAGAGGTACCTCAGAAGAAAGGCCTGGAAATAGCACACCACACAAAACATGCACGTGTATAGAGCACATGCATGCGTAGGGAATATATAGGGAGTTAGTTAGGAAGTTAAAAAACTCATGTGACGTGTGTGTGTAAAAATAAGATAAAGTTCTCTCAAATCAGCCATTGAAATAAATCCACTGGAGCACAGTTCTTTGAACAGACAGAGTGGTTCAGAGTCCAAGTTCACTCACAGGCATCAGGTTTTAAGAGGGGTTTGGGGCTGCCTACAGGACTGAGGAAGTGGGCTCTGCCCCAAGAAAAGCCAGAGTTGTTGGTGCCGCCCTAGGGAAGCAGGTGCGGGTTTGCCCTGCGCTGGCTGCTTCCCTGGTGCTGGGCTCACTGATGAGGCTGCGGTCCACACTCCTCTCGTTCCAGGTAACTCGCAGAGCTCTGTTTCCGGGTGACTCTGAGATTGACCAGCTCTTTCGTATTTTTCGGACCCTGGGGACACCCAGTGAAGCCACATGGCCAGGAGTCACTCAGCTGCCTGATTATAAGGGCAGCTTCCCCAAGTGGACTGGGAAGAGGCTGGAGGAGATCGTGCCCAGCCTGGAGCCGGAGGGCAAGGACCTGCTCATGGTAGGTGGCGGCAAAGCCTTCCCGTCTGCCCTTTGCCCTCTTACGTAACCTGACTCTTGTAAGTCTGAGCTAATCATTTTTCTGACCCTTGTACAGTTGGTTTGTCGCTGAGTGTGTTCCCTAGTTAACCTCTCCCTCCCATGAGTCCAGTGTTCAGGCCACTTAGAGAACGCCTTTCCCCGAGTTAGCTTTGCCTCTTTGGAAACTCTACACACTCTCTTACAAATGTACAGAAAAGATGTTAATCTTTAAAAAAAAGTTCAGGTCTTTCATGCACAGCTTACTCTGAGTCATATTCTGCTCTACAACACTTAACCAATGCTAAATGAGACTAGTTTTGTTATATTTCAACGTGGTTTCATCTGTCAACATAACTGTTGTTGTTAAGTGCTGTCAAGTTGTAGGCAACTCATAGCGACCCTCTGAATGAAAGTCCTCAACACTTGCGTGCCTTTCATCCTCTCTCCAGGCTCGTAGGGTTTCCAGAGGCAAGCTATTACGGAAGTGGATGCCGCTCCTGCTTCCAAGCTTGTTTTAACCAGTTATGTTATTCCTTGGAGGAACATTCCTCCACTTTGCACATCAGTCTTTGTCAAGGTGCTGTATGAAGTAACCTGGGTTTGCGGTGATGCTGAACTTTGTGCAGTTGGGGTATCAGATACCAGAAGGGTTTCCCAATGTGGACAGTGTCTAATGGGGCTCCCAGTTGTAAAACAGGTTTGGAAGCAGGAGTGGCATCCAGTTCCTAAACCACATGTCTCTGGAAACTGTGAACTTGGAGAAACAAAGATAGATGTGGAAAGGCATTAGGTCATTTGTTCATGGAGTCACTGTGAGTTGACCTCGACTCCATGGCCGTCAACAGCAGGCTTTGCGTGTGCCCTGGGAGACTCGCCTGCTGCTTTTGCCTCTTGCGCCCCGGACCCTTCGTGGGCCCATCTGTGCTGTCTGCTTTCGGGAGGTCACCTGGCTGCTCTCGCGTCGGTTCCGCCCGTGACGGTGTCTCTTCACATGATCCTGTGCACAGCTGGGTTGACCGTCCCTGCTGCTCGCCCCACTGTGGCCTCCTGGGCTACACACTCAGGAGGCATCTGGCAGAGCCACCAGTTAATGCACACGCCGCCACCTCCAAAGCTCCATTATCTCAGGGCTCTGCTGTTGGCTCTGGGGAAGCAGGCCGAGCTCGCATAGCCAGGCTGCGTCCATCCTCCCAGAAGGCCATGCGGATCTGGTGACTCAGGGCCACTCGGGTGTCCCACCAAGGCTCCAAGCACTCGTCCTGGGGACCTGCCTCCTGGCTGGATTGAGAGAATCCAGCACAAAAGCCCTAGTGGTGCACCGGTGAAGCGCTTTGAATCCCCCAGCCACTCTTAAGGAAGTCTCTGAAAGTCACAGCCTTGGACTCCTAGGACAGTCCTGTCCTGCAGTGTCCCTTGAGTTGGCCCAGAGCCAGAGGGCCGGTTGTGGCAGAATCTCTGAGAACCGAGGCATTTCCATCACCCCAGAGGGTTTCCTAACCACGCACCCAGTCCCTGTGATGGGCGCACAGGGAGACATCTGCTTAGCTAACAATAGACTGGGGTCTGGAACCTTCTTCACCAAGGAACAGGAAGATGATTCAACATCAGTGGCACCATTCAGACTGGAACCAGAACTGACTCTTGGTCCAGCTCTGAGTGCCCAGCACTCTGGAGGTGGGCAGTGGGAGCTCTGTGCAGCTGTGGGTCTCAGGGTCCCTCCCTGTGGGGCCTGGGAGTGTGACACTTCCCCCTGTCCTGACCGGACTCGGGTCTCATCTCCTTCCTCCTCCTCCCTCCACAGCAACTCCTGCAGTACGATCCCAGCCGGAGGATCTCGGCCAAGGCGGCCCTCGCCCACCCCTACTTCTCCTCCACCGAGCCCTCCCCGGCCTCCCGCCAGTGTTTGCTGGAACACTTTTGCCGTTGAGAACTCGGGGCCCACCACCGACCGTGCTCTCTTGGGCTTCTGCCTACCCACTCCCCAAGAAAGAATGGACCTGGAGAGATTAGAAAGGAATTTGGCAGCAGCCACAAGAGCTGAGTGTGGGTTGGTCCCATCAACAGGTTAGGAGTTCTGTGTTGTTTGCTGAGCCTGGCAGTGCTATTTCAAGAGAAGCTCCGTGCAGGAGACGGGTGTGTTAGAGACCAGACCGCACACAGGTGCCAGCGGTGGCCAAGTGCCCTTCACCTGCCCCTGCCCTCAGCTGCACACCCAGAAGCAGAGGGAAAGGACATCCCCTGCTGGTCTTTGGTATTTAAACAGTTTGAGGGACAAGTTGAGTTGCAGTTGAGTCCCGAGTTAAAGACGAGATGGAGGGGAGGGACGCGCCTCTGACCTGAGGTCTTGTCTGTTCACCCAGAATCTCCATGTGTTAATTTTCTTCTAGCTTTTAGAACAGGAAATAAAAGTAACACTTTCCTGAGATTGCCTGTGTTCTGTTCACGGGGGCACAGGGCCTGGCTGATTCTGACTAGCGGGTTTGAGTCAGTGCCTGGCCTGACTCGAAGACCCAGGAAAGAACTGGGAGTGTGGGTGCGGTGGAGGGTGGGTGGTGGATGGAGGGTGTGTGGCGGGTCCTGTGTTCTCTGCCCCTGACCTCTAATGGCCTCTCTAGTTGACTTGTTTTCCAGCCTGGTCAGTGGGGTGTTTTCCCTCTCCAGGTCATCCCCAGACAAACCGACTCCATGTCTGTCCCCAGCAGGCGTGTGAGAAGTTGAGTGGATGCCTTTATTGGAAGCATTGAGTCAGGGAAGGGGTGGGAGGACAGATCTGAGCCTGTGTCTGGGGGTGGATTGGGGAAGGGCCCAGCACCAAGACGGGGTTCAGAGAGCAGAAGGCCCGTTCCCGGGGGTTGACTGGGCCATGTGACCCCGGCTCTTGCGCACACCTGCACACACGTGGACACCTCCCGTTCACTGCTGGGCCTCGGTTCAGCGCAGGCCGCGTGCCGGGGTCGGGGAGGCGGCGCGGTAGCAGCGGTACCCCTCCAGTGCCGCGGGGAGCAGCAGCAGGCCGCTCAGGGGGTCCCTGCGGCAGCGCCCCATGGCCTCCTTGTAGCTCAGCCGCTCCTTGGAGAGGGGGTCTGTCAGATCCTTCTCGTAGCTGGCCTCGTCCTGCACCAGCTGGGCCAGCTCTTCGCTGATCATCCCCGAGCGCACGGCCTGGGCTACGGGGATGCGGCCAGTGCGCTTGGGGTCGATGAGGCCGCCGGTGAGGTGCTGCACCTGCAGGTGTGGGAGCACGCTCTCGGGGGGCATCCAGCCCTTCTGCGCGGCCTCGCCCACTGACAGCCGCTTCCGGGTCACCGGGTCCTCGATGCCCGTGAAGGCCTTCTGGGCGTTGAGCAGCCTCTGGGTGGACGTGTTCTCGATGAGCCCTCGCTCGGCCGCCTTGTGCACGGAGTAGCGCTCCCGGCTGAGCAGGTCCACGATGCCGCCCGTGGCCGCCTGGGCCTCCAGCAGCTTCTGCCCGGTGATGGGGTCCAGCATGTTCTTGGCCACGGCCGTCTTGATGCTGCACTTGTTGTCTGTGGTGGTGTCGTAGACCCCAGCGATGGGGAAGCTGTCGTCGCCGAGCCCCAGAGAGAAGCTGGACGAGAAGAAGCTGGCACTCTGGGGGCCCGGGGAAGCGAGCGGAGACTTGGAAATGATGGAGCCGATGGACAGTGAGGAGCAGGGCTTGGTCTCACCGGCCACGAGCAGGGCGAACTCAGAGATGGGCAGCTGGCCCTCCTTGTACAGGTGGTACTCCTCCTTGGAGATGCGCCGGCAGCGGAGGGCCGTCTCGATGGAGTACTGCTTCCCGCTCTTGCGGTCCAGCAGCACCGACTCCTCCCCGCAGGGGCCCGAGGTGGTCACCTCCTCCCAGTCGCACTCGAGCTCCTGCAGCTGGAGGTACTGGCCCCGGCTGATGATGCCCCGCTTATAGGCCTCGTATGGGGACATGTCCTTCCCCGTCTCGGGCTCCAGGATGCAGATCTTGGTGGACAGGTTGGTCTCGCGCGTTTGCGTCTCCTGGCTGAGCTCCTCTTGGCCGACCTTGCTGTGGAGGTCACGCAGGGCCCGCTCCTTCTCGTGGATCCGGTCCTTCTCGCGGAGGATGGCCACCTCTAGCCGCGACAGCTCCTGGCCGCGCTGGGCCGCCCGCTGCCGCTCGCCGTCCGTCTTCTGGGCCTCCTCCTGCAGGTGCTGCGCCTGCTGCTGCTTCTGCCGCTCCAGGGCCCGCAGCTCCTGCTGCAGCTGCCCGCGCGCCTGGTCCGCCTGCTCACGGGCCCGCTGCAGCGCGGCCTCCTCGCGCGCCCAGGTCCTGGCCTGCGCCTCGGCCCTGTCGATGCGCTCCTGGAGCCTCCGCGCCTCCTCCTCCCGCCCCTGCCGGGCCCCGCGCTCCCGGTTCAGCAGCTCCCACACCCGGGCGCGCTCGCCCTCCAGCACCCGGTCCTTCTCCACCCGGATCACCTCCTTGTAGATGGTCTTCTCCTGCGACTTGGTGGTCTGCAGGACGTCGATCTGGACCTGCAGGCTCTGGCGTTCCCGATGCAGCTCTGTGACCCGGGCCTTCTCCCGCTCCAGGTCCTGCCGCAGGGCGCCGGTGGACTTCTCCAGGTCCGGGTCTTTCTCCAGCTTGACCACCTCCTCCATGATGATCTTCTCCTGCACGGCCGGGGGCCGGGCCTCCAGCTCCTGGATCTTCAGGCTCAGCTGGCGGATCTCCTTCTCCGCCGCCAGTTTCTTGCTGCGCTCCTCCTGGAAGCGGAGAAGGTCCTCCTGCTCCTCCACGCCAGCCCGCAGCTGCTGCACCTCCCGCTCCAGCTGCCGCCGCCGGCCCAGCTCCTCGTCCAGGCTGCTGCTCAGCCGGCTGTGCTCCTCTCTCAGCTTCGGGTCCTTCTGGGTGACCACCACCTCCTGGACCACCACCTTCTCCTCGGGCCGCCTCCTCTCCAGCAGCAGGTACTTGTTCTGCAGCTCGTAGAGCTGGGTCTCGGCCGCCCGCCGCTTCTGCGTCGCCTCCCGCACCTCCTGGCGCAGCCGCTCGGCCTCCTTCTCCAGGACGGGGTCCTTCTCGCGGCGCACCACCTCCCTGGTGACCGTCTTGGTCTCCACCTTGGAGCGCTCCCGCTTCCACTCGTCCCGCTCGCCCTGCAGCCGGATGAGCTGCTCCTGGGAGCGGCCGCTGCTGTTGACCAGCTCGTTGAGCTGAGCCTTGAGCCGGTCCACTTCGCGCAGCACCTCGGGGTTCTGCTGGTGCTTCACCACCTCCCGCGTCACCTCCTTGTACTCCACGGCGGGCTTCTGGGCCCGCAGCACGGTCAGCTCGGCCAGCAGGGTCTCCACGGCCTGCTCCGCACTGCTGCGCTTGCCGGCCGTGTCCTGCAGCTGCGCGCGCAGCCGGGCCATCTCCTGCTCCGTCTCGGGCTCCACCTGGAAGACCTCCAGGACCCGCTCGCGGAGCTCCACCTTGGGTCTTTGCTTCTCCGCCTCGCTGTGCTTGGCCCTCAGCTCCTGCAGCTCCTTGAGCAGAGCCGCGTTCTTGCTCTTCTCCTCCTCCAGGAGGGTCCTCAGCTTGGAGGACTCCTTGAGAAGGCCCGGGTCCTGCTCCACCTTCTTCACCTCCTTCACAATGACCTTGGGCTCCACAGAGCTGATGGCCCGCTCCAGCTCTTGGATGCGAGCCCGCAGTTTGGCCCCGGCCTCCTCGGCTGCCTTCCTCCGGGCGACATCTGCTTTGATCTTCAGCTTCAGGTCCTGGGCTGCCTTGACCATTTCCGGATCCTTCTCCACCTTGACCACTTCCTTCACCACCACCTTCTCCTTCACATTCACCTCCTTCTGCTCCAGGGCCAGCAGTTCCTTCTTGAGCCCCTCCAGCCGCACCGAGAGGGTAGTGTTCTCCCCCTGCAGGTGCTCAATCTTGCTGGTGAGCTGGGCTTGCTGGCTGGCCAGGCCAGGGTCCCGCTCGACTTGGGTGACCTCCTTGGTCAGCAGGTGCGGCTGCTTGGTCTTCCTCTTGCTCTCTAGCTGGACGACCTTCTGGGCCATGGCCTCCAGGTCCGCCTGCAGCCTGGCTCGTTTCCTGCCCTCATCCTCGACCTGTGACTTGACCTTGGACAGGCTGGCCTCGAGCTTTGGGTCCCGGTAGAACTCCACCACCTCCTTCTCCTCCAGCCTCTCCAGGGGCCGCTGTGTCTTCAGCTGCAGCAGCTGTTCCCTCTGTTTCTCCAGCTCTCTCTGCACCTCAGCCACCCGCTTCCTCTCCTCCTCCAGCTGGGACAGCAATGCCGCTGACTCCTGCCCTGCTGCTGCCGGGCTCCCAGACCCCTGCTTGGCATCGTGGGCCACCTGGATGTGCTCGCTGAGCTCCTTCTGCAGAGAGTGGAGGAAGGGGTGGAGAATGGGGTGAGAGGGCAGGAAGGACTGAGGTCAGGACCCCTCCCCCTGCTTCCCGAGGCCACCTGGTAGCCCTGGAGACCAGAGATGCTTGGGTACAGGATTTGGAGAAGACGCAGTGAATGTGAGTGGGGTTGGGACACAGGAACTTGTTCAGGCTGAGCTGCTCTAGAAAGTTCCAAGAGAAGGCCCTCCCTTGTGTATCCCTCCCTTCCCCTCCCATCCAGGTTTCCAGAAATGGGCCTCATGTGTGCCTCTGGGGGTGCTGGAGAATGGCTAAGGGTCACAGAAATCCTGGCAAGCCCTCTGGTCAAGAGTGTCTGGCTCCTGGTCTCCCAGGGATGGAGGCCTTGGTGGCCTTTTGCTCAGCAAGGCTGGATTCCAAGGTTTTTTTTTATTTTCTCTCTTCTCTTGAATAAGAATCCTGGCTCCAGTGAAGATCTCACATTGGCTAAGCTGTGGTGAAACTAAGTGACACCAACAGGGTCGACCTCTGGGATGGATTCGATCCCGTTCAAAATGATGAGGACAGGTTAGAGAGATGTGCACCCTCTCAGTCTGCTAAGCCCACCCAGGGACTGGAGGCTGCAGGGTGAGGAGGGAGAAAAGACTTCCAGGTCAATGACCAGGCTGGGTATCATCTCTGTACCTTCTCCAGCACCTTTATCGCGAACTCCAGCTGCTGCAGCTGCTGCTGACAGGCGGCTGCAGCCTCTGTGTAGGCCTTGGTCAAGTTCTTCTCCTGGACAGGGAAAAGGAAGGAGGGGGCAGAGTTAGAACCCAGCTCAGAGGCTGCAGAGCTGGTGCTCAGCCCTGTGGGGTCCCCCTCACCTGGGTCTGGATACTCTCTTGCAGAGGAACCACTCGGGGTCTCTTGGGGGCCGATACTGCCAGTGTCGGCTCCAAGGAGCAGCGGTAGGTGTCTGCCTTCAGCTCATAGTCCTGAGCAGGGAGAAAAGGACAAAAAGGTTGGGAGACAGTGGGCAGAAGCCGGTGTGGGGAGCAGGGGACGAGAAGAAGGAGGGAGAGAAGAACAGCAAAGAGGGACAAACTGACGTAGAACTGCTTACTTGTAGAGCTGCCTCCAGGTCCTGGGAGAGGCTGGACATCTTGGCCCTGTCCTGCTCTCGGCCCTGGATCTCCTGCACCAGCCTCTGCCAAAGGGAAAACAGGAGTCAAGGATGCCACTGGCCAGCGCTGACCCCCAGGCACAAGAACCCAGGGCAGGTAAGAGTGGCGTGGAGGTCTGGGCAGGCTGTCCCTCTTTCCCTGACTTCGTTCTCCCAGTTTTCCTGCTTCCTCACCTTGGCTGAGTCCCATTCTTCTCCCTAGTTGCCCTCAGAGTTCTAACGCAGCAGTCCTTGACCCTGAACCTGTACCAGGAGCATTGCATGGGTTGGATCAAACACAGATTGTGGGTGTCACAGAGTTCCCGATTCAGGAGCCTGAGGACTTGCATTTCTGACATATTTCCTGATGATACTGAGCTGCTGGTGTAGGGACCACTCTTGATTCAGGGGTTGTTGCATTGTCAGTCCAAAGGCAGGAGGTTCAAGTCCCCCAGCTGCTCCAAGGGCGGAAGATGGGTACTCGCCTCCTGTGTGATTGATTTCCTGTCTCTGAAAACCGGCTGGGGGGTCAGCTAGAAGTCAGTTCTGACTTGACAGCTATGAGTTTTTTGTATTTTTAAAATCACTCCTATAATCACCTGGGGAACTTGTGAAAAATGCAAATGTTCTGCCCCGTTAATGCCCATTTGCTTGATCTGGGGTGGCCTCCTTGCATGAGGGGGTTTTGAAAGCTGCCATGTGGCGAGCTCTGGTGGCCTAGTGGCAAGAAGCTGCACTGCAATCCCGGAGATGTGAGGTTCGAATCCACCAGATGCTCTGCTGAAGAAGGAGGGACAACCTTACCAGTCAGATCTGATTTGACGGTACACATAAAAAAAAAGCTGCCATGTGATTCTACTCCTCATCAGGGCTCGGAGTCTGTCCCAGGCCCTTTTCTTGGCTCTGTCGAGGATTGCATCATGACGCAGCGATGTCTGCAGTGATGTAAAGTGGACACTCTGTAATGACCTCTGATGGTCTGATGAAAGGGTGGACTGAAACACCCCCAGATCTGATATCAAGGGAACTTTCCTAGGCTGTGCCTTGGTAATTTTTCTCTCACAAGATTTAAGAAGGAAGGAAAGCCAGCTGAGATGGCAACCTTTGTACCAGGAGAGGAGCTGGCCAGGCTTCTGCTCTGAAAAGCTCCCCGCCACGGCAAGGGCCGGGATGGACAGAGACCTCCCAGGAGTGTCAGGCCAAGAGGAGCCGAGGGAGACATGACTTCCTCCAGAACCGACAGAGACAAGAGCTTCCCTCAAGCTGGCACCCTGAAGTCACACTTGTAACCTGAACTGAGAGAGTGAATTTCTGTCTTAAAGCCATCCGTAGGTGGTGCCTCTGTTACAGCAGTGCTAGAGAACTGAGACACCTTCTTTCCCCCGCAGCCCTGGGGCCCAGCTCTTTGCCTGATGGAGACTCCCAGCCCAACAAATCCATCTCCATCTCCCCACCACCCTTTGGCACCTCACACTCAGAATGACCCCAACTAACTTCATTTCTTTCCCCAAAACGCACTCTGTTCCTGTGTTCCCCATCCCAGTGAGGTACCCCTCTCCTCGGTATCCCAGACAGAGCCTCATACAGCCCTGGGTCTTGTGTCTCCCTCCAAGTAATCACCAAACCAGCCGGTGCCACCCTCTGCATCTCTCAGATCCACTCTCCTCTTTCTGCCCTCCCTCCTCACTCATCCAGGCACCATCTCCCAGGCACCCCTGTCCCTGCTCAGCTTCCTGGCTTCAGCCCTGCCTCCCTCAGACAGCTCCATAGGGCAGCCCGAGGGAGCCTGGTAGCTACAGAGCTGCAGATGACCTCTCCCGGTGACCCTGGGGTACGGTCTAGCATCATCTGTGCCCTGTAAGGGCTGTAGGTCACTCCTGTGCCCTGACTCGCCATGCCCTCTGCTTGGGACACTTCAGTCCTTCCCTCTGCCACCCCCTCCCCCAGTTGCTACTCAGTTGTTGCAGTATCTGCTGGCTCCTTCAGGCTGGCCCGACCCCAACCATGCCTAGCAGCGGGTACCCACAGTGCCCAGGGCTCCCCTACAGAAGTGATAATCACCTCATGACCTGTGACTTGTAGATCTCCCCACCTGACTGAGAGCTGCCTGAGGTCAAGCTGTACCCCCAAATGGTAGCCCAGCCGCTACCACCGAAAGGGAACCTGACAAGTATGAAAAAGAAAATGCGGAAATGGCTGGGAGCCTCAGAAACTAAACCCTGAGCGTTGTGTCCTCTGTCCACCTCCAGCCAGGCCAGCGATGCCTGGGGCTCCTGCAGGGAAAAGGTCAGGGGGGTGTTTGTGGTGCTAATTGCTGAGGTGGTAAAATTCTCACCTCTCACACAGGAGACCCATGTTCAATCCCCACTAGTGCATTACAGACACTAAAGCGCTAACGCTTTGACATTTGCTGGCTGCTAACCCAAAGACCAGCGGTTCAAACTCATCCGTCCCTCCGTGAGAGGAGGGAGAGACAGTCTCTCTAATAAAGTCACAGCCTTGGAAAATCTACGTTGTAGTTGTTAAGCGGTGTCAAGTTGAGTGCGACTGAAAGTGACTCTATGAACATCAGACCCATCCTGTGCTGTCCTCACACTCTCTGACACTCTCGAGCCCACCGCTGCGATCACTGTCAATCCACTGGCTGAAGGTCTTCCTCTCCTTTGCTGTCCCTCCACCTCCTTCTCCAAAAAATAGCCTCCTAGTTCCATCCCGATGTGACTTGTCAATGAGGCAGATCAGATTCTGATTTGATTGGCAGCCAGTCAATGAATCACACACTTCTGCACGGTTGGAAATGCAGGATGAAGATACAATTGCTGTGTCCCAGCAGCAGACAGGAGGTGTCTTCTAGAAGGAACAGAGGAACCTGCCCTTGTACGGCAGATCTGTTCCTACAGAGCAAGAATACTTTCTCAATCGGAACACCACAACCGGGTCCCAGCTTGTCCTGACTGCTGCAGCATCATTTTCTCTGTCCTTTCATTTCCCTTTCCCTAGTCTTTGATTGTTAGGAAGCAGAAGAGGCAACCACTTCCTAAACAACACGCCTCTGGAAACACTTATGAACTTTGATAAATGTCGATAGTTATAGAAAGGCTTCAGGACTTTTGTTCATAGGGTTGCTGTGAGTCGTGCTCGACTCAACGGCCATCAACAACAACAAACCCAAAGTATGTGAGAGGAAGTTTTGCCGCCCTTGCCTCCAGGGAGAATTTACAGGGCAGTTCTGTGTATCATATAGGGCTGCTATAAGCAGGAGTGGCATCCACTTCCATAACAGCTTGCCTCTGGAAACCCCAGGAACCTGGAGAAAGGACGGAAGTTATACAGGTGTACAGGACTTTTGTTCATAGGGTCACTATGAGTCGCCTACAACTCGACGGCACTTAACAACAACAAAAACAACATGAATCAGAACAGGGCTTTGGTTTATGTGACTTAAAAATTAAACACTCAGCTGCTAGTCTGAAGTTTGGCAGTTTGACCCCGCTTCCATTATCTGCTCCCGGAAAGATTGTGATTGCAGGCTACGTGCCGTAGTTCGACCCATGTCAGTGCCTTGACCTCAAACAGCGCACTTTGGAGGCTTGGTCGCTAGGTGGCGGCATGAGCACAGGCAGCAGCCCTGGAGAAGAGGTGGCAGGAGACCCCAGGCCCCTCACCTTCTGTGCCTGCAGCTTGTACGCCAGCTGGCTGGGCCCGTCCTGGGGCCGCACCTGCATGTGGGGCAGGTGCCCGAGCCAGGAACTCAGATTGTCCCTGCAGGTCTTGAACTGCTGGTAGGTGAGACCAGCGTCTTGCACTATCTTCTCCCTGGTAATAGGGGGACGAAGCCAAAACAGAGGTGAGAGCCACCCTCTGGGGACAGGTGAACGTAAGAGAAGTGACTGGGGACACCACCCTTCCAGGGGACAGGTCAGGAGGCCTCAGTGACCTACTCTTTGTCCTGACAGCCTCTGCTGACACCAAGCACCCTGGGAGGTAAGAACTGCTACCATTCCATTTTACAGATGGGAAAACTGAGCCCCACAGAGATCCAGTCGTCCGTTCAAAGTCACCCAGCTTGTCAGTGGCAGTACCCAGCATCCCCGTACCGTGGGCCCGATGGTCCAGCACTCACCGCAGGTCCAGCTGGTCCCCCACGGCATGGTAGCGGTCAGTCAGGGCCTGGACCTGGCGCCGCTGGCGTGGCAGATCTTGGCAGAACTCCCGGAAGTTGTTCTGTAGCGCGCCACACGTGTGCTCCGTGGCCTTCAGCTGCCTGTGCAGGCCCAGCACGCAGGTCTGCTGCTCCACCAGCTCCCGCCGCCGGTGCTGGTGGGACACAGCAGCAATGCACACTTGTGGCTGCACGAGGTGCCCTGTGTACCCTGCACCTGGCCCGGGGGGCCAAGCCTCACCTGCAGCTCGCTGACCCTGTCCTGCAGCGCCCCTGGGCTGTCGGCGATGGGGGCCTCCTGGGCCAGGGCGGCCTCGAAGCCTCGGATGACCTGGTCCGCGTCCTGGATCTGTCGCTCCAGGCCCAGGGCAGCTTTGGCTCTGCGCAGAGGAGGGAGAGTCAGGCCAGCTCTCCGCCACACTGTGCTGCCCGCCTGGGGCCTCCCGACACTTACTTGTCTCCGTAGAGGTTGCACAGAGTTTGCACATCGCTGTACTTGTTCTTGACGCTGTTCAGGGCCACAGGCAGCTGCAGGGCAGCGGAGCCCACAGGCTGCTCTGATAGGAAGGCCTCGCACTCCCGCTGGGCCGCCTCCTTCTCAGCTCCCAGGCTCTGCAGGCGCTGGGCAGTGCCCTGGCCGGGGCAGCTGAGGTCAGAATCTCCCAGACCTCCTCCCCCCAGCTCCCCTCGCTCCTCCTTTTACCCTCTGGAGGCAGGAGAGCGTGGCAGCTATGGGCTTGAGCTCGGAGCCAGCGAACTGCCTCCGGTTCTGATCCTGCGAGCTGCCGTGTGTACGACCCTGGGTTAATCAGCCTCTCTGACCTTCACTCTCTTCATCTACAGAATGAGTTGATGGTGGCAGTAAATGCGACCTTGGATGTCCGGAGCTTGGAAGCATCGGGCTACCTACTGTTGTCACCTGGTCATCAGGTCCCCGCCTTGTCCCCACCAGCACGAGCCACACGCATTCATTCCTTGACTCATTCATTCATACGTTGCACAAGTCATGACGAGAAGGCCCCACTGTCTACTTTCCATCAAACCTCTCCTGGTGAGGTGTGGGCACCTTGCTCGTTGGACAGTCCAGTCCCTGTCAGAACCCAAAGGAGTGCTCCCCCCACTGCTTGGTGCTGGTGGGAAACAGCCTCACCTCAGGGGGCTGTGCAGTTTGATGATGGTCACTTGTGGCCTTTTGTGAGCAGTGGAAGTCTGGCATAGGACTCAGCCCTTCCCTGTACCTGGCACGCCCCTGGGGTTGGTCTCAGGGACTGGCATGTCACAGCACAGTGTCCACCTGTCACAGGGGGTCCCTCACTTCACCTCTGACCCAGGACCCAGCCTGCACACTTACCCTTTCCACCCTGAAAACTTCTCCCTTCCCACAAGGCCCCAACCCATCCGGAGCACAAGCGGGAGTCACTCCAGGTCACAGATCTGGTAGTGGAGGACACCCAGATGCTGGTCCAGCCCCTTCTAGAAACTTCTGAAACAGTACCATCCTCAGCACAACTGAGTGTGTCAGGGATAGGGACACTAAGGCCCAGGGAGCCTGGAGGGCTTGTCCCGGACCTGGTGGTGGAGGACCTGGGCTGGACCCAGCTCGGCTGTGCCCAGTTCTCCCTCCGCTCTGCCCGGTTCTCCCTCCGCTCTGCCCAACGCCCGTCCCATTGCTGCCGCCACCTGTGTCTCCCGCTAAGGTATTAGAGCCTGTCCTGCCCTGCCCACCTCATGGCCGCGGATGCGACCCTCCAGGTCCTCCAGGGGTGATGTGCGGGTCAGCGGTGCCCGCGTCCAGGCCAGCAGCTGCTTCTCTATCTGCACTAGGTCCCCGTCCAACCGGGTCATCTGTGTCAGGAGCTTCTGGGCTCGTGGGTCAGCCGGGGCTGAGCTGGACAGAGCTGGGGGCACAGGGAGAGGCTAAGCGTCCAGGACCTATTGTACCGCATCTCCTAAAGGGACCCCTCCCTGAGTGACCAAAGAAGGTCCTGGGTGGGTGGAGCCAGGAGGGGGGGGACGGTGGCTGTAACTCCGGGCCACCCTCGCCTGCCGCAGCCCCCAGCACAGCGGAAGCTGACAGATACTTCCTCGATCCTAACAGTAGGAAATGTTCAGTGAAGCCATTTGGCTGTGAACTGAAAGGTGAGTGGTTCAAACCCTCAGGCACTCCCTGGGGGAAGGGAAGGCACTGTGCAGCCCTGCTCTGTCCTGGAGGTTGCTATGAGTTGGACTTGTTTTAACTTCTGTTAAATTGGTTTGAGGTTTTTATCTCGACACCCCCACTCTCCAGCCTCCACCAGCCCCTGGTACCCTGTTGGCCTGGCTGGACAGCCTCGGTCACGCTGGTCTTCAAGTGGCTCCGGGTACTGGCCAGTTTCTGCTTCAATGCCTGCAGCTCCGAGGCCAGCCTGGGAGGGGAAGGTTGGAGAAGGTGGCCCGCCTCCATCCAGCCCCATCCTCAGCCCTCACAGCTGGGAGCCAGGGGACTCTGATAGCCCACAGCCTGCCCCTGTCCCTGAGTGTCACCGCGGGACCCCACGATGGCCCACCTGGAGGCCTTGGCCACAGCGTCAGGGTCTGGTGCTGGGATACAGAAGCAGGTGGCTGGGGCATTCTTGGTCTCCCCCCCAGGACCCTGCACGATCCAGGTGTGGGGGTCGGAGTTGTCCAGCAGTGTGTACCGTTCACCTCTCAGGAGCTGCACCTGAGGCAGGTGGGGGGTCAGGTCGGGTGCAGACAGGCAGGGGGGACAGGGAACAGAGGCAGGTGGAGCACGGGCCGGGAAGCAGGTCAGGAGTTGTGAGATGAAGCTAGGGCAGGGCTGGGGCAGAGACGGCTGGGTGAGGGTAGGCCAGGGCTGGGCAGAGGTAAAGGTGGAGTGAGACCAGGGCATGACCAGAGTGAGGCTGGGCAGGGGCCCAGACTGGATGGATGAGGCTGGGCGGGGGGCAGGGGTAGAGGGAGGGGTAGAGGTGAGGGGAGGAGCGGGGGGTAAGGGCGTGGTAGGGACGGGGTAGGGACGGTAGTGGGGGGGTAGCTTAGGGACGGGCTGGGCAGGGGCAGAGACAGGGTGGAGTAAGGCTGGGCCGGGATGAGCCCTGGGACAGAAGGAGGGCGAGGCTGGGGTGCAGCAGAGGCAGGGCTGGGTGAGTCCAGGGTGAGGTTGAACGGGGCAGAGTCCAGGGTGGAGTGAGACTGGGCAGGGCTGAGCCCCTGGGCTGGGCAGGGTGAGGCTGGGCGAGGCTGGGCAGGGACAGTGTGTAGCTGGGTGGCTGTGGTCATACTTCTCCGGACTCCCAGTCGCAGATGCTGTCCACGTGCAGGGGCTGCTGGGGCGGGCTCCTGCGCAGGGGCAGAGGGGTCACCTCCTTGCTCCGGCGCTGTAGGTCCCCCACGGTCCTCTCAGCCACCGCCAGCTGTTTCTCCTCTACCTGCCAGGCCGGGCAGCGAGTTCAAGCTCCACTCACCTGGGCCCAGCCCTGCTCACTCCTGGTCTTTGGGAAGGTGACAGGACACCCTCCCTGATGGGCTGGGACTCTGAGATCTGGGATTAGGATGGACTTTCCAGCACCCTGTTCTCCAGAGTGGAAGCCGGAGAGGTCTTGGAGCTGTCCCCGGTGCCCCTCAACATTACAGAAGAGGAAACTGAGGTGTAGAGATTTTTTCCTGGTAACACAGCTGGGAGCAGCTCCTTACCTCCCTTCTCCTGCCTCAGTGGTCAGGGCTCAGGGCAGGACTGATTACATGGGAGGGGGCGTGAAGCCCAGACCCCCCCAGTGCCCAGCAGCGGGACGCACGTAGGGAGGGTGGTCAGGTGGGGCTGTCTCACCTCCAGCTGCCGCAGCAGTTCTGTGCAGGTGCCTGGGGGCGCCCCGGGAGCAGGGTTGTACTTGGTGTCCAGGCTGGAGCTGAGCTTGGCCAGGGTCTGGCTGACCGATCCAGCCTCTTCCTGGAACTGAGGTTGCCGAGGGGTCAAGGGTAAGGCTTGGGCAGGCAGGGTCTGGGGCAGCCTCCTGCCCACTGATCATGCTAATGAGCTGTCCCCAGACTGACAGGAGCCAGCCCAGCTAAATCCAAACCTGTTAGCCCTAAATCCCCTAAGCCCAGAGACCCTGCGCCCAGACCAGCTTTTTGTGGGGCGCGTGCGTGTTTATGCATTAACTTGTGTCAGCCTCTGGGCAGGACAGAGAAACCTGCTTTAAAGCAACACCCACCATCGTGTGGGCATCACTGTCAGTACTTGTGATGACACTTTAAAAATAAAAACAAGAGAGAAAGTTGTGCCTCTTTGTTCTCTCAAATGCGTAAAAAAAACATTTCAGGTTGAAAAATATTTTCTGGTGAGCTCTGGTGGCCTAGTGGCAAGAAGCTGCACTGCAGTCCCAGAGGTATGTGGTTCGAATCCACCAGATGCTCTGCTGGAGGAGGGACAATCTCCTCCTGTACCAGTCAGATTTAATGTGACGGTACACACACACACACACACACACACACACACACACACTCACTCACTCAATAAAAAAAATATTCTCTAAAATTCTCAGCTGGGTTTTCTCTCAGTGTCTCTCAGCCCCTTTACAACTTCGTTGTCCTCAAAGGAGACTTCTAGATGCTTCTTCCCAAGCCCTCCACAAAATGCTCACATCGCACTCAACTGACTCACTTCGGAACTTCGGACTCTGGTCACCTGCCATCAGGTTTCTGAGGCTGTAAATGGAAACAGGAGGGGACTGCCCGTCTTTCTCCCGCTGGTGAATTTGAACCAATGGAGACACTCAGCCTTTGGTTTAGCAGCGTGACTCCCTGCAGACTGCGCCACCAGAGGCCCCAGGGCTGACATCGCCACCACAGCATCACATGATTACCAGGTGCCCGTTGAAGTGCTGTGTGTATAAGGGGTCTGGTGGCACAGTGGTTAGGCTCTCGGCTGCTCACCAAGAGGTGAGAGGTTCAATTCCAGCTGTTCCTTGTGAGAAAAGACATGGCAAGCTTGGAGACCCTACCGGGCAGGTCTACTCTGTCCTGCGTGTCTGCGGTCGGCACACAGCGACCAATATGTGTCTGTGTTAACGTAGGAGGAGCTCTGGTGAGTAATGTTCTGGACTGCTAGCTCAAAGGCCAGCAGTTCAAATCCATTGGCGAGTCCTTGGGGGACGAAGGGAAGTCTCTCCTCCTATAAAGATTTACAGCCTTGGAAACTCGCTGGTGGGTCGCCATGAGTCAGGACCAGCTTGGTGTTGGTGGCAGGGGGTTTGAGTATTGATACATAAATAGACCAAGATTCCTTTTTCGCCTCTGCTTTGCTCCCAAGAACCATTTTCACACCCTCAGGGCATGGTGAAGTGTGTGACCTAATTTCCCTTTGTGGCTGTGTCACAGTCATTCCCTGTTTTATCTGTGAGGGGTCCAGTCACAGGGGGAGACCCTGGGTGGTACTAACAGTGCTTGGTTGCTAATTAAAAGGTTGACGGATCCAGTACACACACGGGGCCTCCGAAGGACTTGATGATACTTCCGGAAACCAGCTGCAAACTCCCAGGAGCACAGTCTACCCGTGATGAACGTGGGGCCACAGGCACTGGCACCGGCGCTGGCTCAGAGGCCCCTGGTTCTGGTGTCCTGCACGCCCCTCAGCCGGCCCCACAGCCACCCCTGCCCTGCCCGGGCCTCACCCTGCAGTAGACCTCCACATGCTGGAGCTGGCTCTCCTGACAGATGCACAGGTTCAGGAAGTTCTGCCACTCCATCTTCAGGGCCTCCTGATGGGCCTGGGGATAAAGAAGCATGAGCCTTGGGCCAGGCCTGCCGTCCACCCCACCCGCCTCACCAGCCTCCTGGAAGCCCCCTGCGGGCGGTGGGGATCAGCGCACCTGGATGGGCCCGGTGGCCGGGTGCCCGAGCTCGATCATGTGCTCCCCGTCGTCCTCCAGCTGGTTCACGCTCTGCTCCTGGTTCAGCAGTTCATGCTGCTTGAAGTGCTGGAGAGGACGGGGTGGGCAGTTAGGTCATGGACCCTCAGGCCCTCCGTCTGTGCGCCTGAAACATGCCCTTGTCCCCTGGTCTATCAGGACCAGGTGTCCTGGTAACTTACATGCCCTCTGCCCTCGTCCTCTCCTGGCACAGGCCGTCAGGAGCAGGGGTCCTGGTCATTCATATGCCCTCCATTTGTACCCCCTGACATCTATTCTTAACCCCTGACCTTCATTCTCATCTCCTGGCACAGGCCGTCAGGAGCAGGGGTCCTGGTCACTCAAGCCCCTCTGCCTGTGCCCTCTAACTTCTACCCTCGTCCTCTGACCTGGCACAGGCAGTCAGGATCAGGGGTCCTGGTCACTCAAGCACCTCTGCCTGCACCCCCTCACCTCTGCCCACAGCTCTTAGCCTCCGCAAGCCCCCTGACCTCGTACTCCTGCCGCACGCCCGCAGGGTCCACCATGAGGTCACTCCAGTCCTGCTGTAGGATGCGCCGCTGCTGCTCGGCCAGTGCGCTCAGCTGCCGCGTGCAGCCCTGCAGGTGCGTGTAGAGGCTGCCCAGGCTCTGGCCACGCCACGAGGCCGCCTTCTGCGCTCAGGACGGCAAGACAGGGCGCGGTGAGACCACAGCAGCCAGGCTCAGAGATGCCGGCTCCCCTCATCAGCCTCCTAGTCTCCAGGATGCCCCTACCATGGTCACCCGTCACCCCAGCCTCTCTCCTCCTCTAGTCTCAGCCCTTGGGACACTCCTGCCGAGGCCACTGGTCTCTCTTCCCTGGTCCCCTGTATTTCCAGCCTCCAGAACACCCCTGCTCTTGGTCACCTTGTCAGCCTGGGTGGCCACCCCCCCCGCCCCCCTCCTTACCAGCAGGTCCCGGTACTGGCTCCGGATGGCAGCTGCGTCCTGGCAGGCAGAAAGGAAAGCAGTGAAAGGCAGGGTGAGAGGCAGGTGCAGGGGAGCCCACCCCGGGGTGCTCCTCCCGTCCCCTCCCGAGGCCAGCGAGGCTGGGGCTCCCACGGGAGAAGTGGCCAGAACGGCCAGCGCCGGGCGAACCCACCGGCCCCACGAGGTTCCGCAGCTGCTGCCCGTAGGCCTCAACCTCCTTCTGCAGGATGTTGTGCTCGGCCACCTGCTGCTCTAGCTCCGCCATGCCTGGCCCGTACTGCCCGTCACACACTTGCTTCTGTGGAACAACCGCAGCTCAGGGGCTGGAGAAGGCCTCTCCGAGCCCTCCTCTCTCGCTCAGCATCCTCCCCAGAAGGGATGGCCAGGCAGGCCCTGGACAGTCCGGCAAGCAGACCTAGGCAGGGCCCGCAGCTCTCCCGGGACGTGGGTTCTCAGTCGCCCTGGTGGCCCTTGCTATAGCCCGCAGGCCCAGGATGCGGGCTCAGCCTCCGAAAAGCCCCCTTCCTTCCCTGCGTCCTCCCTGGCCTCAGCCTCTCCTGCCTGGACATCTACAGTTGTACCCATCCTGCTCTGCCCACCCCTCCCTCACTGTCCCGTCCTCGTCCCATGGCACCCCTTGTGTTGTGGAATTAAAGTGCAGCTCCCCACCTGACAATCAGGGTGCCTGTGACCCAGCTCTACCCACCTGACCAGGAAACCCCTCTCCCATCCCACCCTAGGCATCCTCCTGGCAGCAGACTTTGTTCCTTCTCTCTGGAATATTCCTTCCCTATCATCCCATCCCTTTCCCCAGGCCTCCTCCTGCAGGAAGCCTTCCTTGATAGCTGGTCTCCTTGGCTCTTTGCCTGGTCAGGTCCCCACACTGCTAACAGGTACAAGCAGGTTGATGATCAGAGGCAGTGACTTCACGGGCGTCTCTGATCACTCCGGGAGGTGTGATCTGAGAAGGTGGAGCAGACCTGGGGGGCCCCCTGACCTGCTTCTGCTCCAGCACGCGTGCCCAGTCCACCCTGGGCCCCACGTGGGGCGGCAGCACCATCTTCTCGTACAGAGCGCGGTACTCGGCGCATTCCTGGGTCACCCGCTCGTGCAGCTGCTTGATGCTGGGGGAAGGTGGGCAGGAGTGTCAGGTCGGGCTGGGGTCCCCCTCCAGGCCCCCCACCGCCTCCTGGCCCCACTCCACTCACTCCCTCTCAATCTCCTCGGCCTGTGGGTGCTTCAGCCGCCGGGCCTTGTCCACGTCCAGGAAGAGGTCCTTGAGTAGCATCTCAGCCTCCTTCAGGTTGCGGCCGGTCTCCTGCTGGTGCTGCAGAGGCTGGCTGCTCTCACTGTTCTGCCGGTCCTGGGAGCGGGGCAAGGATTGCAGAGGTCTGCATCGGGGTGCAGGGGGCCCCCACACCCTTGCTGCCCTGTCCTGGAGGCCCCATCCTGAGGGGACGTCAGCCATGCTGGCCGCCTGTTCTGTGTGCAAAGACACGAGGGGAAGCCTGAGTCCTCCGTAAACCACTTCACTGCTCAGTGCTAGGAGCCTAACAGAGAAAGAAAACAGCCTTCTCTCCCCGAGGCTGTGTGAGGCTCAACAGGGGGTGTGGGCAGTGAACGAGGCACTATGCAACACTATGCAACAGCACGACGGGCATAAGAAGAGAGTGACCCATGTGCCCATCCAGAGGCCATCAGTCATGGCAGTAGGCCTCCTGATGCAATGCAGCTGCCCTTGCGCCAGCCATCAGCTACATAGCCTCACCTGCTGCAGTTTCTTCTGAGTCTGCAGGATGTCCCTCTCCACTTGGTCAGCGTTGGCTTGCATGCGGGAGATGAGCAGGGCCAGCTCCTGTGTGGCAGCCCTGACAGGTGGAGGTAGACAGACAGAAGAGACCACTGTCAGAAAAGGCCCCTTTGTTCCCCTTGGGCAGGAGCTCTGCCTGTCCAGGTAAGTCACCTGGCCCACCTCTGCCCTGTATCACCCTGCAGTCAGGCTCATGGCCCAGGAAAGCAGAGCCTACGTCCTGGAGGGACACTGTGGTCTCTCCCTGGAAGGAGGCTGTGAAGTACTGAGTAGGGACGAGAGAGTTCAGAAAGCCCCATCCTGTCTGTGTGGGCACGTGGAGCAGGAGGACTTGGGGCACCCCAGCCTCAGCCAGTTGTCCTGCCAGCTCCCTACCCATTTCCTCCAGCTGGGGGTGGAACTCAGCCACCAACGCGGGGGTACAAGGCTGGGCCCTGGGGGAGGCAGCTGGCTTCACTGGGTCCAAGGACAATAGCATGTGTCCCCCAAGGCTCGTCCAGACCTTAGCAACCACCTGGAGGAGCCATACATCATTGGAGCAAAGGGAGCCCACAGATTGCTGGGGTACCCCATTTCCCAGATTTGGGGAACATGGCCCAGATTGGGGCCTGCTTGTCCGGAGAGAGCGTCCATCTGCGCTCATATCAGGGTCGTTTCCTGTGCGGACATCCTGGCATCGTAGCAGAGGCCCTGACACGTGCGTATGCTGAACTACGGCATCTGCGGCGTCACAGGTCTGTCCTGGGGGACGGAAAGCCTCCTTGGGTTCTTAAACCAGGGGCCAGACAAGCTGCCCTGGCAGAGGGCTGGCCCAAGAAGGTGTTACGGTTGGAGGGGACTCTAGCCTGTGTTTGGCCATCTCCCTCACTATTGCTGTGTGATCTTGGGCGAGTTGCACAACCTCTCTGTGCCTCTGTAGCTCACTTGTAGAGCTGAGCTCCAACAGTACTTCCCACCTCACAGGATTATCACACCCTGAGAAAATTAGTGCATTAAAGCATCTCCTAGAGGGCCTGGTGCAGGGGCGGCCTTAGGGGCATAGAGGCTGTTTGCAGTGGTCTCGCCAGACCAGTTGAAAAGCCTCAAACTCGTTGCTGTCAAGTCTGAGCTGACACAGCTGAAGCCTCCGAGGGCTTTTTCTGAGACTGTACGTCATACAGGAGGCTGCCGAGGAGCAGGTGTTGGATTCAAACCTGAGAGGCATTGTCTTGGGGTTTACCAGCGCAGTTCCCTACAGACCAGGCCGCTGGAGGTCCTGAAACCACCAGATCTGAGCCCTAGCCTAGAAGGGTCTCCGTAAATACTCTGAGTGAGTGGACTGTGTGGGAGGGGGTGATGAGCCCTCTCTAGGGGGCTACAGCCAGACCCAGGACCCGCTCCCCCTGGACTCATCAGCTCAGGCAGGAAGCCTACCGAGGACCCCGGCAGAGCAGGGGCTTTCAGTGCTGAGTTTTGGTGCCCAGTCCTTGGTCTGCCCGCCAGGAGGGAGAGAAGGAGGGAGGGACGGACATGGCCCACTCTGGGCAGGGCTCAGGTGCCCCAGGGAGGACAGGTCACTCCTGCAGGAGACTTGGGGCTGCCTTTCCCGTCTACCCAGACACCAAACTGGGTGTCACCGCCCTGATCCCTATCAGGGTAATGGCCCCCTACACGCTCAGTTCTTGTTTTCCATCTCGGACCCCAGGCAACCTGCCACCTCCACCCTGCAGTGGGGGCTGGGGCCCAGTGGTGGGAAGACCGTCAGCCAAGGCTCTAGGGGGTGAGAGGAACCCAGGACCCCAAGACCTTGCCCAAGCTATCAAGCTGCCCAGGACCTAGCAGAAGAGTGGCCCACAGGCCTCCGTGTGTGCAGGAAGGGGGCGTCAAGAGGCCCTGAGGGAGTCGAGCCTCTCCCCTTTGCACCCCAGGCCCCAGCAGCGCAATCTCCCAACTCTAACAAGATCCCAAGGCCCGAGGGGGTGGGTACCTTCTGAGGAAAGCTGCTTGCTCAGCCTAGAAGAGCAGACAAGTGACCTTACGACTCCTGGACAGCCAGCCCTGGCTCCCCGCTCCCGGGCACCCCTCATGCAGCTTCTCTGGGACCATCCAGCACCCAGACCCTCAGCTCATTCTGGGGTCAAGCTGTGCCCCTGAACAGTGCCACGGGCAGGAACCCAGGTGCCTAGCCTCCTAGCTGCTGCCACAGCTGGGCCCGCCAGTGGTCTCCCCCAGGCCTCAGGCCTCCCGGAGTCCAAAGATAGGCCTGGATGCCCCTGCTTCCTGCCAGCACGAGGGCTGTTCTTGGTTGGCAGCTCCCGCCAGGGCGAGCACCGCCCTCGGGCCTTGGGCCTTTGGCCACCAAATGTCAGCGCTAGACTGGTCCTGGGCTCTGGGCTGTGTCTCCAGATGATACCACCCCTGCCCCAGCCACCCCCTGCCTGGCCCTGCTCACCGGCTGTGCTTGGTGGGGGAGCCTTTGGGAGACCCCTTGGCTGGGGAGCCTTTGGGGGACCCCTTGCCCTGGGAGCCTTTGCTCAGCCCCTTGAACATGGTGGAAGGTTGGCGCTGGCTCAGGCTGGGCTCGGGCGGCGCGGGTGGCAGGTAGCGGCGTGCGTCCTCACCGGCTGGGCAGCTGGCTCTGATGGGGCGGTCTCGGGAGCCAGACGGTTTCTGGGAGGCACCCTTGCAGGTGAGGGGGGCCCCCTTGGAGCTGCCGCGCATGCACCCGGCACGCCCACTCCACCCTCTCCCGGCACAACCAGTTTGGGAGGAATGGGCAGCGCCCAGAGGCGGGGCATCCAGGCTGCCACCTCCCTGGGAAGGCCTGGGCTTGTCGCACCCACACGCCCAGATGGGGAAACAGCTGGCCGGGAGGAGCAGGGCCCCAGACAGATGCACGCAGGCCCAGGGACAGGCCAGCTCACCCCAGAGGTCCCCAGAGAGAGGCCAGCGGGCTGGGTTAATGAATGCCTCCCGCTATCAGGCAGGCCCCCACCCACGCTGGAGAGGTGGGTGGCTCCAGGCAGCCCCAGGCAGGCGGGAAGCCAGACTCCCTGCTCACAGCGCCCAGGTCTCTGCCCTGTGTTCACACCCACATGGCCGCCAGTGGACACAGATCCACAGACCAATGGCATCAAGTCCATGTGAAAAGTCAGGCACACCAGGCTGGCCCCCAGGTGCCCACACACTTGTCTGTGCTGGGACCCTCCAACCAGCTCCAGAGTTCTCCCCCACTCCCCTCAACCATGCACCACCAGCCGCTGCTGAGTCCAGGGCCTGTGCTTGGGAAAGGCTGCCTATCATCCCCCTTGCCTTGGACATGGCCCTGGTGGGCCTTTGCAAACCAGACTGCCCTCCTACGAGGCTCTCTTTACAGATCAAACCCCCTGACCTATTTCGGAAAACCGAGTGGTTTTGGTGGAAATAAGAGAGGTCTGGGCCCCTGGGATCATCAGACATTCCCCCCACCCCAGGACAGCAGGGGGTGGGGGAGATGACAGGCCCAGAAGATGGGGATGGGGGCGGGGGTGGTGAGACCAAGGACAGCGGCCTGTGTCTGACCACACCTCAGCAGACAGAGGAGGTCTAAGTCCTTTCGGGCTGCATCCTGTGGGCGAGCTGCTAAACTTGACTCTCAGCTTCTGAGGCAGAGGCACTGAGGATGGCAGTTGGGGTGGGAGGGCAGCAGGAGACCCTGGCAGAACAAGCAGAGAGGGGAAGGCGGCGTGCGTCAGAAAGACCTCCAGGGTCTCCCAGGTGTGTGATGGGGGGGCAGAGGCAGAGATGAAATGTTGAGGGAGAGGCAACCTCTCTTCCCTGGGTGACACTGTCCTCTAACCACTACTGGCAATGCACTCTTCCCAGAAAGGGGTGATTTGCTTAAATGTCTGAGGCTCCTTCCTTTCATCCTGGGGGCTGGAAGATAGGGCAGTAACCCAGGGGAGCGAGTTGGGATGTCACTTCTGGCAAACCCACAGCCTCTCAGAGCCCAGCGGGGCAACAACGCCCAGGGGCAGCCCTGTTGAGCGAGCAGAGAGCTGGAGGTGAGAGGCATCCAGAGGCTGTGACCTGGAACATTCCAGCTTCCCCTTCTCTGAGAGCAAGCCCTCCTGGAAATAAATGAGCACCGCAGGGCCCTCACACACCCCAGGGAGTCGGGCTGATTCATGAGGAAGAAACACAAGAGCTGGATTCCTGGCACCACTGTTCACACTGTCCAAAGCCGTCGCATCAGGCCCGCTCCCTAGATTAGGCAGTGGGCAGTGGGCAGGCACGCCCAGGCACTGTGGGCGGTTAATCCACAGGGGCCCTGCCCCCAAGGGTAAAAGATGTTAGAGAGAATGAGAACAGAAAGAGAGGCCTGGCTGTCTTTATGCTTCATCTTTGGTTTTTCGTGTGTTGGAGAAACATCCAGAAGGAAGGACATTTGACACATGAGGGAGAGGAGTTGTTTGGCTGGATGGCTGTGATGGGCTGACGAGTTCCACGCGGCCGTGAGCACTTGAAATGAGAGATGGGCTGTAACATGTGGAAAAGACACACAAGGTTGGACAACTTTGCATTTTAAAAATGTAAAATAGCTTATGAATTATGTGTTGACGTGCTATTTTTGATGCATTGGGTTAAATAAAAAATAAATTTTAATTTCACACATTTCGGTTTTCTTTACTGCGGCTACTAGAAAGCTGACAGGTTACAGCTGTGGCTTGCATTTGGGGCTCACACAGGATCTCCCCTGGGCAGATTTGGCTGAATGCATTGGGGCTCCCCAGTGTCCAGTTCTTCTGGGCCCAGCCTTGTGCTGGCCTTCTTCTGGCCCCTTGAGGTACCCCTTCCCCCGCCTGGCCCTTGCTCCCTATCTTTGGGTTAAAGTGGGTGAAGAAATGGTCTCCTTTCTGTCCAATTTCAGCTATGATATTAGATGGTGGTGGCTTCCCCAGGTCCTGGGACCTAAGGCTGGGCCAGTGAATGACCAGGGCTGGACACAAACCAGGCTCCCTGCTCAGCTACAAGCTGGTTGACCACTTGGAAAGGGATTCTGGCTCCCAGGGCTCTTGTGGGTCGGGGGCACCTTCCTTCCTGCCAGAGCAGATGGTGCCAACTGCTGACTCTGCCCTGGGAGCCGGAACCTGCCAGGCTGCAGGACAGGATCTGCCATTGCAGGAAATTGCCCTGTTTGCTCAAAAGCCCGGCCAGTAGACCCCTGGAGCCGAGGCTGATGCTCTCTCTGCCCGTTTGCTTCCTGGGCGGAGGCGGGCACGAGATGAGCTGCCTCCGCTCAGGCGTCAGGAATCCTTGGGCTTGTCTGGAGGCAGCTCTGGGCCGAGTCTGTCCGGCAGACCCGATAAGGAGAAGGCCCGCTTGGAAAAAGCTGGGCTGAAAGGGGGCCACGGTTTGCAAAGGAAAAAGGTGCCAGCTTGACGTTCTTGGGTTTTCTGCAGGGAAGGGACAGCCCGAGGCAGCCAAGCCAAAGCTGTCTGGACTGCCAATAGCACAGGTATGTCCTGGAGAAGGTGCAGCCAAAAATGACAAAGTGTTGTCTTACGACTTCAGGCATGCTGCTAGGAGAGGCTATCTCTTGGAGATGGACATCATGCCGGGAAAGGTGGCGGGTCAGTGCAAGACAGGAAGACCCTCATGAGACACACTGACACAGTAACTGAAGCAAAGGGCTCAAGTGTGTCAGAGATGATGAGAGCACAGGACACAGGGCAGAGTCCCTGAGTTGTGCTTGACTTGAAGGCACCTAGCAACGTGTCACAGACCGGGCGAGCCTTACCTGGGAGGGTCTGTTCCTCCCTAGGAGTGAGGGCTCTGCCGGAGTCTTGAGTGACAGCTGCCCAGTCGTGGGTTCAGTACAGGGCAGTCCAGTGCAGTCTGCACCACCTGGCCCCAGGAGCTGCCACTGCACCAGCCATTCCTGCATCCTACCCACTCTCCCGGGGAACTGCCTCCAGGAGGCCCTTTGTTGTCCGAGGGCTCTGGGCCTCCTTCCCACATCATAGACAACTGCCAGTCTCTGGAGCTCTACCTGGGTATGTTCCAGGGACATTCAGGTCTGACCAGAGGCTGACTGGGACCATGTCAGGGTGAACAGCCTGCAGCTGGGGAGGGTCATGAGGACTGCAGTCAGGGTTCCTCCAGAGCCGTTCACTCCTCTGAAGAGAAAGAGCCACAGAAAAGACAGCTGCCCGACTCCAGGGTAGTCAGTCGTCTGACCAGTCTTTACTGCCAGGAAAGAAAAGGGGCGGACTGGGCCGCCAGACACACGGGGCAGCTCAGGACTCACCTGACGTCCAGATGATGTGGGGGGTGCCAGGACTGGGCCCCACAGGAAAGGCTCCGGGGGAGTGGGGTGCTTACACTCCGACCACCTGTCCACAGGGGAGGACAGCGAGGGACCCAGATCTACCAGCTGCTCAGCACTCGGCACCCTGTCTTCTTCCTGCAGCAAGCTCATACACAGACGCCCCCACAAAAGTGGGGTGAGAAACTGCTCTAGGGTTGGACCACTCGGGCAGGGTCTCTCAGCAAGGACTGGGCTCCTAAAGGAGTCTTCTTGGGAAGCATGGATGGTTCTGAGGTGCCATCTGCACCCCATTCCAGAGAAGTCAGAGTTAATGTCACTTAGTGCTCAAGAGCTGCTTCCAGGGCCACGCGGGAGCCGCACACCTACTGTCAGAAGACCCCCAGGCAGTTCACGGATGCGGCTCTTTTCCAACTGGGGGACACTCAACCCCGTCTGAGGCTGAGCACAGACATGGAGTTAATGAAGGAACAAGCCCATCTGTTGACAACAGGGGCCCCATAGCAACACAACCATCATCAAAGCTAAGGGGGTAAGTGGCCCCCCACTGCCTGGAGAACTTCCCTCAGGGCCCATCGCCAGCAGCTCAACAGGCAAACCACCGCAGGTGGAGTCGCTGGGGCAGAACCGGATTGGAAAACAACAAAATGAAACACACCCCACGTACCCCCAATGCAGGGGCCGCAAAGGCCAGACTGGGCTGCCACAGGCACTCATCAGGGCTTGCCCTTGGAGCTGGTATTTTCTTTGACTTGTATAAATAACCTCACTGCCAGCTCACACCTGTTCCAGAAGGTGCTCGGAGCGGGCAGAGCTGTGTGGCCAGGGATACGTCACACGGGGCATCCGGAACCGAGGCTCCAAGATTTCTGCGTCCCCGACACGTGCCCTGTGGGATCCAGCAGGCTGGAGGCTTCCCGCTGCTGGTGTCAGGGGCCAGGCAGTTCCCCATTTGTCCTCTTTGCTTTGGAACAACGATAAATTTTACAGCTAAACCTGCTTTCCATCTCCTCTGTTGCAACAAGTGTCTTCAAAGAAAAAAAAATTAGAACTAACACATATTTTTGCTATCTTTGGATATTTTCCTAGACCTTGGAGTCTTCCAAGCTCCTCTGGGCTGCAGACGGCAATGTGCTGTTTAGAATTCTGTGAGCAATTAGCTTTATTGAGTAATTAATGATGCTTGGCGTACTGAAAATGAGCATTGCCACATGATGGCGAACGGGCAGAGCCGTTGCCACCCTCGGAGCCAACCGTTCTCTCTCAAAGCGGGGAGACATCACCCCGACTTCTGGGAGGGACAACCTGGCTAGGGGCCCAGGCCAGTGGGGGTTGGGGGCTGTACTGCTGTATCACAGCGGTCACCCCAGGATGTCCCCCGGAGGAGAAAGGGAGCCAAGTCAGGTAGTGTTTCATTTCAAAAAGAGAACCTGGGAATTCTGACTTGATTTAAAGTAAAACTGGAAAGAAGACAGTACATCAAAACAATGTATATGGAAAGAGGGAAGGCCGGACACAGAGAAGCCAGCCTTTCTGGCCTCCAGCTCCTGACACCCATTTTAACATTTTTTTAAACAGAACCAACAGCACTGAAGCCAGATGAATCCAACCAGATGGTCATGTTCAGCAAGCACCCTCTACCCGTCCAGGCGCCTCCACACTGTCCGAGCAGCCCTGCACATGGGGGATTGCCAGGCATTTCCTCTGAGAGCCCTCTGGGCACACTTGAACCATGAACCCCTGGGCTAACAGCTGAGCGTGTGAACTGTTTGCATCACTGGATACTTCACGTCATGACCAGCTGGTACCGGAAAGCCTCAAATCTCTTCAGATCAATACCAACATAGCCCAACACACGGCAGACGGAACGTCCACAGAGCCACCTGCGGAAGTGTCTCGTGACTCTTGGCCGGGGGACAGGACACTGGGAGGTTCACAGCCAGAGCAGGAAAAGGCGCTTAGGACAAAGTGCATCTCCATGCATTAACCCAGGCGCCTCACCCCTCCCCTAGGCCACGGGGAGGCGTCCGCAGGCCCATCTGTGAACTTGTCCAGGTCAGCACTGTGCTGGCCAGCAGGGGCCCAGGCCTAACCCCGAGATCCCATCAGGACTGAGGGCGCCTGCTCTGGGCCCGCAGTCCCCGTGACATGGCCTGTTTAATGTCCAGGGATGCTGTGTGGAGGGGAGTGTGAGCTCGGAGACCTCATCCCTGCCAGATCTGTCTCCTTATGTAAATAGACGCTTTAATACTAAACATGGCCACGCACGACACTGGTCACGGCCTCGCTGTGGTCATGTTAGAAACTTCCTCCCGGTCGAACACCAGGAGGAAATTTCTAATGTGACCACAAGCCGGCCAGCCAGCCAGCACTGGGCATTTCTAAATGAAGGGGCGATCAGAGCAAAGCTGCTTGCACACTTCCACTGTCACCATGGGGACATGAGGCTTGGCAGAGGCGCAGTGGGGATGCTCAGCTGAGGACCAAACCGGGAGACTGATGTGTTCCCATACACATCACAGGCCTGGAGACCAGAGCGGGCAGGTCGACACTGTCCGGGAAGGTCGCTCAGTTGCAGGGGACCTGAGGGCAATGGTCAGGTTTGGCTTGGCCGGTTTTGGCTGATCCTGACTCAGGCTGGGACTCCAAGGGAAGCTGGAGGAACAACAGCAATGCCAGTGATGAAGGGGACGTCATGCACGAAGAGGAGGACGCTGAAGGAATTCCGCAGTCAGTTCTCTTCCTCACTGGCCCGGATCCTGATGGGCTGCTCTCGGCAGAGGCTGCGTAAGAGACGTGAGACTCCAAACCACAGGCCAGGAGCTGTCCTCAGACACGCCAGGAAGTTGGTGGGACGACCAATATGAAACCCCCAAACCTTCCAAGGTCCCTTCAGCCCAGCATAGGTACTAACCTGAGTCCTGAAGACCTCAATTCAAGATCACTAACTAGCCTGTCTTCAAGGGAAATGAAAGGGCCTTTGATAAATGGATGGCTACCAACCAAGACGCTGGAGTGCGCCACTACAGGGCAGCTCCCTGGGAGAGGACTCCTACTTGGTTCCCATTCAGAACATGGAGAGCTCTACTCTCACCCGGGGCCGCGATGACTAAGAATCGACTTGATGGCACCCAATGACAACTGTGTGGATGTTATAACTTGTCGTTTAAAAGCCCCACAGCATGCCGAAGGTACACGGTTCAAATCCACTAGATGCTCTGTTGGGGGGAGGGAATCTCCTCCCATGCCAGTTGGATCCGATTCAACAGTACACAAGGAAACAAAAAGTGTCCCTGAGCATCCTGGGACTCTGAGCTGAAGTGAACCCCGGGAGAGAAGAGGCAGCAGGACCCCACAGCCACACTCGACTGAAGTGAAGCAGCTGACCTGCACTCCCACGCCCCGAACACCAGCTCCCTGTGATCTGTGCAGGAATCAAGGGCACCATCTGGCCCACACGGCGCGTCCATCTCGGAACACTGTCTACAGACTTGTGGCCACCTAACCTCCGGACACTGGAGTCGGCCTGTGTGGACGCACGTCTATGGGGATGTGTCCCCTCTGGGGGTGAGGGGGTTTTCAGAGATATGCAAGGTTTCTATACAGTTCACAGTTAAATCACTTTTATTCCTTGCTTTCTTACATTGCTTTTTGTCACGTCTTATCAATGATATAAAAGAAGTAAGAAAGGCTGACTAAAGGTAAGAAATAACAGACTAAGGAGAAGAATGGTTAAAAAGAATGGTGTCTGAAAATGGTACTGGGGACTTGCTTTAAAAACAGTGTCTCTTACACACCTTCCTCTGGCCTCAGCAATCCCTTGACTGCTGGAGGGAGAGGAGGGTGAACTTGACCTCACAGGGCGACCCAACGCAGCCCAGGAAAGAGCTGGGGCTGGACGTGTAATGAGGCCACGGAAATCGGGCAGTCTCCATCATCTTTGCCTTTTAATATAAGATTTGGTTTAATCACTTCTGAGTGCAACATAGTTCTTCTAAAAATAGAGCTCTTTTCTTGTTCTCTCCCTCGGAGGCGAAGGCTGACTGTAATCCTGGGAAAACAGGCCAAGCTCATGGTTACGGACAAACTCCTCAGGGGATGCCTCACGGCAAGGATGAGCTGATATAAAATCCGGGGCACAGATGAAGCACAGCACGCGTGCAGGCCCCACCTGGAAGGGTGTGAGCTCCCCTGAGGGTGTTACCATCGTCGGCATCACGGACAGGTGGAGGCTGGGACACAGAGGACCCACACACACCAGCAGGAAGAGGCGGGTCCCTCCTCCACAGGGTTAAGGATGTAAGTGCACAAACACACGACGTAGGAACGCAAGGCCGAGGGGGTCAAGCTCCTGCCCGGGGCCAGTGCAGGCCTGGATTTAATATCATGGAACGCGCTGGGATTTTTCTTACAACAGATTAAGAGTCAGGCTCTCCCTGGGCCCCCAAGGCAAAGCCTGGTTAACTCCGGAATCCAAAGATGCCCTTGATGTATCCGGTGAGGCCACTCTTGGTCTTCTGCTCCAACTTGTCTTCGAGGGGTGGGAAAGCCACATGGTTGAGGGCCAGGTCGAAGAAGAGAGGCTTGCAGGGGACAGGCTGGAAGCCCGGCGGGAAGTGCACGAGGCTGGCCTGCTTGGTCACAAGGGAAGGGTCCAGGCAGAACGTCTCGAACCGTTCAACTAGAGGCTGGAAGGCAAATCAAGAGGAAGGAGAGAGAGTGTGACACTGGCCGTCCGTAGGACAGTCAGGTGCCGAGTCCTCAGCCAGCCTCACCGCTCCCCGTCCTCACCAACCCATGAGGAGGTGCCAGCATGTCCCCATGCTCCAGATCAGAGCCACTGATCTTTACAGAGGTTACTGTGAGTGGGCAGGGGGTACTGGAGCCTGGGTCTGTCAGAGGCCGAAGTCGGAGCTCCTAATGGGGGTGCTCACGGCACAGCATCGGGGTCCATAATCTCCTACTCTGGGGCACCTGAGACACCTAGGCAATGTCAGACGGGCAGCTTCAGAAGTTCAAGGTTCCTCTACTCTACCAACAAGGAGCTCTGGTGGCCTAGTGGTAAGAAGCTGTGCTGGGAATCCAAAGGTACATGGTTCAAATATATCAGCGGCTCCAGAGAGAAAGATGGGCAGTCTCCTCCCATGTGACTTCTGGCCTCTGAAAACCTGCTAGAGGGCCAGCTATGGGGCAGTTCTGACTTGATGACACGCGGCAACAAGAACACCCCACGAGGAGCACATCCTCACCCCCAGTGGACATAGCCCACACTCACCTTGTTGTCCTTGACTAGGGTGGAAGTGTCTGCCTGGTGGGAGTCGCTTGTATCTGAAAGGGATTCCGTAAGAACCACACAGTTAGTCACAACCCAGGGTTCTAAATCCAGCCCCTGAGGAAGCCAGCCCTCTCCCGAGGAGCCTGAGAACGTGCAGGTGACAGACAGTAAATCCCGGAAGCGGGCTGCTACCCACTGCCGCCAGCACAGTGGTACAGGGGTCATTAGGGTGAAGGGAGAGAGTAACAGGGTTTCTCTAAATCCTTCCACAGAATTTGATTTCATGCCTAAACTGATAGAAGCAAAGGCAGGGAAGTGGCACCTACAAGCTTAAGGTCAGGACTAAGACATGGGTGCGTCTGTTCTCCTCTCTAGCCAACAGAACTGCACTCAGTGAGAGGCAGTCATATGACAGGAATGACATCACGCTCCATTCAGAGATGGCATGACCCTGTGTACTGCTACAACTAGTAGTTCACCAAGGCTGCCAGACACAGAGGGCTCAGGAGGGGTGGGAGGGCGGCCAGAGACTCACCCAGGATGGCCGCCGCCTGCAGAGAGCACTTTTCAGACCTCACTTGAGTGATGAGCTCCTGTACATCTGGCAGGTCCTGAAACAATTCAGAAAATGTGCACTGAACTTGACCTGGCTCTGCTCAGAGGGCCCGTGGACTCCACAGACCTTAGATCTGTTCAACAACCCTTTCTATTGAGTAAAAAAAAAAAAAGGCAGAAAAGTAGACTGTTTCAGATGAAAAAGGCTCTGCTGAGCTGAGAAAATAATGTTTGTAAATAGCAATAATAAGGACGCCTTTTCAAAATATGTACGGAGCAGTATCAGAATTAAACTGCAAAGTCCTAGTACACAAATGATCATTACTAAAAGTTTATAACGTGTCAGGCACTGTCCTAACAGCAGAATTAGAAAATTAGTCTTCCTAACCCTCCTGAGAGCATCTGTCCTCCCATTTTACAGATGAGAAAACTGAAGCGGAAAGAGGCAAAGTGACTTGCTCAGGGACTCTGCGCAGCAGAGGCGGACTCCGGCCCAGGCAGTCAGGGCTCTGCCACCACCGCTTCCTTCAGGGCACAAATAACGGGAAGACCCGGCATGGTCTGGACGTGACAAAGGCTTACACCACATTAGGTCAGAAGGGGTTTTGTGAAACATTGTTTTCTCCTCTGCTGAGATGGACGATCCACACTGGTTTGGTGCTGTACCCTAAAATTATACCCCACTGTTAAGATGCTAAAGCAACTCTGGTGGCACAGAGATGGGCCACTAACCGAATGATCAGAGATTCAAGTCCACTAGCGGCTCTGAGGGAGAAAGAGCTCCAACCTCAGAAAGCCAAGGTGGATCACCAGGAGTTGGAACTGATTTGGTGGGAGTGGGGGGAGGATGTCAGGCGCTCTGGCTATACAGCGGTTAAGTACGTTGCTAACCAAATGGTAGGCAGTTCAAACCCCGCAGCAGCTGTGCAGGAGGAAAGTGTGGCAGTCTGTTTCTGGAACCATCACAGCTTTGGAAATGCTCTGGGCGGTTCTAAGCTCTCCCCCAGGGTTGCTGCGGCTGGAGTCACTTCTCAGCAGCGGGGCTGCGCAGTCATGATGCCGCACCTGCATCTCCCTTTTGCCCCATCTTCCTGCCTCTGCTATCAGCTACTGGTATTCCCTCCCCCTCTTGTTATGTATCCGGATGTAATCAGCTCCAACTGGCACAGGAGGAGATTGTCCCTCCTCCAGCAGAGCATCTGGTGGATTCGAACCATGCACCTTTGGGAATGCAGTGCAGCTTCTTGCCACTAGGCCAGCAGAGCTCCCCAACTGTACTCAGAGATGGGTTCCCACTGCAACAAAACCACAAGCTGTGTAGCAGAGAGCCAGGTTGGCTACATTCCCCAGGGGCCAAGAGCCAGCTGAGCAACAGCAAAGCTCTGAAATCAGCAGGTGTTCACAATGCCTTGTGTGACTTAGTAACTTTAGCTCATTTTTCGAATCAGTCTCTACTAGTAAAATATGCACAGATTCTCTGGATCAGATCACTGCAGCAATCCACACAGAGCTGGCTGTTGCTGGTTATGGTGCAGCGCACCCCCGAGGGTCTTGTTAAAGTGCAGCCTCTGCGAGGGGCCTGGGACCCGCACTTGGGGCCAGTCAGCTGTGCTCCTCAGTGGCTCTCCCCTCTCACAGCGCTCGGGCAGCCAGCAGAGACCAGCCACTCACCTTTAGGCTGTTCTTGAAGGCCCCAGCATCGGAGTTGACCTCGTTTGCGTATTTCAGCACTCTGTCATACAGAACAAGCGCTTCACTCCACTTCTTCACCAGCACATAGGACTGAGCAATGAAGAAACACCTGGCGGGGAGGGTGGGGAGTGCAATGGTTACTCCACGCGGGCATTCAGCGCAGCCCAGACTCAGCCTGCACGTGGGCATTCAACGCCCCCCAGGCTCATCCTGCACGTGGGCATCCAGCACAGCCCGGACAGCCTGCACGTGGGCATTCAGAGCAGCCCGGACTCAGCCTGCACGCGGGCATCCAGCACAGCCCGGACTCAGCCTGCACGCAGTTACCATTTTTTTTTAAAGCAAATATGCTTTACCTTACAGGTGCACTTTGGTGAAAGCACGCTGAGGCTCAACTGGCCTCAGCCGCAGTTTCTTTTTTTTTTTTTTTAATTTTTATTTCATTATTTTTTGTGTGTACCGTCAAATAAGATCTGACTGGTACAGGAGGAGATTGTTCCTCCTTCTCCAGCAGAGCATCTGGTGGATTCGAACTGCTCGCCTCTGAGATTGCAGTGCAGCTTCTTGCCACTAGGCCACCAGAGCTCGCTAGCCGCAGTTTCTTAACACCAGGATTGTGTGGCCCATCTGAGACTGTCAAGGTGTCAGTCCACCAGACGCCCTGTCCTCTACCTAACGCTCAGTAGGGAAGCCAGCTCCCGAAAGGAGCATGTTTGGGAGCCAGGGACAGGCAGGCAGGGAGGACACTGACTGGCTCAAATGTGAGTTCCTCCACCACAGATCACGTCTGCTCTCCTTCTAAACTATCAGGCAGTCCTGATGGTCTTCCCAGGCCCCTGGAAAGCCACAGTGCTGGGGTGTGGAGCCAAAAAGAAGGGGAGCACACACACTGCCCTACTTGGTCATCCTGTCTCATCTTGCTACATTGCCTACTTTCAAGTTACAAACACCACAATACATTGAAAACCCAAGTCCAGCTTTCTCCTAACTCAGTTTCCCTGAACCAATCACTCTGGTTTTGTTTTCTATCAGGAGGAAGAGGAACAAAAGGAGGGAGAAGACAAGTCTAATGCAGAGGCTGTGTGACCCCCCGAGTCCTAGCACACTGGAAGTCACAGTCACAACCTCCCAGGGCTGGGCTGCCTGCACTCAGACCCAGGCAAGTCAGCCACACGGTCAAGGGCGATGGCCCCGTCTCCCAGTGCACTCAGGCCCCAGGCAAGTCAGCCACACGGTCAAGGGCGATGGTCCCGTCTCCCAGTGCACTCAGACCCCAGGCAAGTCAGCCACACGGTCAAGGGCAATGGCCCCGTCTCCCAGGACAGCCAGGCTCCCAGTGTGCATAGAACCTCCGCAGAGCAGAGGTCGGCGCTTCTCCTACAGAGCGTTACCTGTAAGCCTTGTACACCAGGGTCTTGAGGCCTATCTCTTTATGAAAGGCTTTGTCCTCCTGCAAGCCAGGAAGCTGGAGCAATTCCACCAGATTCTGTACAGTGGACACAACAAAAAATTCCAAGTTTTTGTCAGGAGATCTTGTAAGAAGAGACAAAAACAAGGGCTTGAAGTAATGGTAACATGACAGACTGGTGTGACAGCAGCCACATCTGGGGTTCCCTCCTCTCCGTCTGATCCTAGAGGACCCAGCTCACCCCTTCCCCCTTCTTCAAAGACTTCTTGAACCACCTCCGCTAGGAGGGCTTGGTCCTGGCCCTCAACTCTCATTTCAGAGTGACCTGCTTGTTGGAGTTTACAGAAACGCCTAATGTGTGCGCGCGCCTCACTTATTCTGACTGACCGGTGCCTGAGGGCTGAACCAGCTCAGTCAGGAAGCGTCAGCACGATGGGAAAGTGGCACAGATCATGCGTGCCGTGAACCCCAGTGGGCCTGCCAGAGGCTCCACAGCACAGATCTGAAACACCTGGGTTCAGACAGCTCAGCAACACTGAGCTCACATCACAGCCCGGTGGTCACCGCCCTTCCTCCAGGGTCACCTGAAGAATGATGTCGTAGAGTCGTATCAGGTCCTGGGGCCGGGGGGAGCGCTTGCTGTCGTCTTCCGGCTGCTGCTGCAGGAGGGCCCTCTGCAGCCCTTTGGCCATGTTCTCGTTGCGCTTGATCGCGGTTGACAGCTTGATGTAAGTCAGATAGCTGGAATGCAACGGTGTCAGCTCAGGTTATGCTCGAGGGAGCAGGCAGCCTAGGGCGAGCCCCGGGCTACGAGTGTGGACAGGCCTGGGGACCTGTGGGGAGGCCCTGGCATCCAGCAGGGGCATGTGGCCTGGCCTCACGCTTGAGCAGCTCTCGACTGTGGCTAACTGACAGAGGACCTATCACAGAATTATATTTTAGCCTGAATTCTATCCTTGGTAACTTGCTTTACGAGCCAAAAGCTACCAATGTCGGAGGACACTACTAGTCCTTAAGGGTGACCAACAGACAGCATGCTGGCCTTTGAGACAAGGACCAATTTACTGCAGATCCCACACGGATGATCCCTCATCACAGGTGCTCCTGTGTCTCAGAAAATACCAAGATCTTTTGCAGGAATCCCTGACAAGTTAAGAGTAGTTTACTATATAAGTACAAAGAAATCAATGAAACGGAGTCCCTAAGAAAGACCCTGCTGGGGAAGGGGAGGTGGCGGTGACAGTCAGGGAGACTGTAACATTAAACTGGCCAATATCTGTGTCTCCCGGTTATCTGTGTCTCTTTCTGTAAGGACTCCAGCTCACGGTGACCATATCAGACAGAGCAGAACCCCAGTTTCCGAGACCCTAAACCTTTACAGAAGTAAATAAATTCATCTTTTTCTCTTGGAACAGCTGGTAGACTTGAACTAGTCATCTTTTGGTTAGCAGCCAAGTACTTTAAGTACTGTATCAACTTTTATTTATATATATATGCATAAATATTATTTATCATACATCAAGAAATTATCATAAAATGGCATTATGTGTATGTTTTGTTCGGATTAAGGAGCTGTGGTGGTCTTTCGTGGTTAAGGAACTGCACAGCCAACCCAAAGGCAGGCTGTCTGAATGCATTAGCTGCTTCAAGGGGGTAAGATGAGCAGTGTCCTCCCACACAGTTTATAGCCTCTGAAACCCACTAGAGGTCCAGCTGTGAGCTGGTTCCAACTTGACAGCAATGAGTTAGTTTTAGCTCCAATGAGATGTACTACAATGTTAAAAAGTGGAAAAATGACACGTCCCTTACAGAAGACACTCCCCTTACCCATGAGACATCCCTCTTACCTGTGCAGGTACTGCCGATTGGAAACCTTCCCTGACTCTCCTTCGAAAGTGTAATCTCTCTGTTTCTGTGGAGGTGAAAAAGGTAGTGTCCCCTAGACATGTCACAGAAAGACAAGGCCAGATCTGGTCCAGCGCTGTCCAGCTGAGGCGTTCTGAGGATGCTGCTGCCAGGATCAGGCCCCACAGCATTCAAACTACGGTCCACGGTGCATCTTGAGGCCTGTGCCTTAGCTTAGGTCTATTCCTGCGCTGTTTGGGAGCTCTGGTGGCCTAGTGGCAAGAAGCTGCATTACAATCCCAAAGGCATGTTGTTCAAACTCACCAGCTGCCCCACAGCAGGAGAACGAGCAATCTCCTCCCGTGCGACTCACTCCCCCTGAAAACTCACTGGAGGGTCAGCTCTGAGTTGGCTCTGACTCGATGGCATTCAACAGCCCGTGTTGTTAGTGCTTATCTTCTGTGGTCAGCTAAGTAATGTCCACCCCACGCCCACCCCCACCCAAGATGAACACACGCTAATCTCTGGAAACTATGACTTTACGTGGGGAAAAAAATGCAAGAAGAAAAGAATCTTGAGCTGATCTTGGGCTATCCCACAGATCCAAGGTAGTCACAAGGGTCTCTGTAAGTGAAAGGGGGATGGAGGACTGTCCGAGAGGATGCAGGCAAAGAGAAGAGAAGCTGCGGGGCTGCCGAGAAGCTGCGGAACAGCCTGGGTACCCAGACAAGCAGGCGGCCTCTCAGCCCGGAAGGCTTCTCAGGAATGCTGGGGCAGGTTCTCCTCCAGGTTCCCCTGCCACTTCCAGAGGAGGAAGCCCTGTGGACTGATGTTATGTTCCACACCGCAACCGTGATGTAATAGACCAGGGTTAAATCATAACTAATCTGAGACCCCGGGCCCAACAAGTAATGTAGAAAATGAGGGAAACAGGGCAGAGGGAAATGAATAATCTCACAGAGACAGGGGCTTCTCAGAGACATCAGCTGAACCCCACACCTCAAAAAAAGCATCTGAATGCACTTAGACCACTGGGACCCCGCTGGAGAACAGGACATGAGCCCCAAATGTGAGTGGGGTAGGCAGGTGGTTCCACCCACCTGGTCTGGTTCAAGTTCCTCCCGGACGGCCTGGATGGCATCCCGACACTCGCTGAGCATGGACTCGAACAGCCGCTCTTTGGTCTCCTCGCTCTCGGCCTGGACAAAGGCAGGAAGGGGTGAAAGACTCTCTTTTGAGGAAGCCAGTGTCAGGAGGGAAGAGGGACGGCAGAGTTCTGATCCTGTGCCTCACATGTGAAAAGAAGGCCTAAGTCAGAGGTCAGTTCTAACACTTCAGCACAGATCATTCCCTCACGCCGTGTTCATTATTCACATGAGACAGCAGAGAGGTTTGTCCTGTGAGACGATCTGGAAGCCTGCACTCTGCAGTGTGTCCTCGCCTCCGGGCGCCCACCTCCCTAGATGGCCTCACAGACTGATAACCCTGGGCACGGCTGTTCCGACAGTGCAGTTCTCCTCCAGAACCTGCTAAAGCTCTGCTTTGTGTAACCTTTCAACTTCTTTTAGGTCCAGAAGAGGAATACTCAACACTGCTGACCAGCACCTGATCAAAGTTCTGTTCCCTTTGCTATAATCTACCACGTGGAGGCCCCTGCTCCACACGGCCACTCCGAGAACTCAGCTAGAGCTCATCAGGCCCCACGCAGGAGACGACAGTGTCACCCCCTGCCGGACACTGTAGATGTGAAAACGTGATTCATCACCTGAATACCTGCCAGCCCTCATTATCATCCTACAGAATCTGGGTGAGCGGGTGGGGACGGACCGAGGCGGTTTGGAGGGAAACTTGTGTTACTGGTAGACAGACTACAAAACATCCACATTCCATCATTCTGTTTGACTTCCCACAGAAACTGACACCCACTCTGCAAAACCAAACCCCTAAAACCCAAAGCCCTCTTGACACTAAACTGACCTAGAGGGAAGTTCAAAGAAAACCCTCACTGCCTGAGACAAGCGGGCTGGGGCCTGCTGAGAGGGCTGGGGCCTGCTGAGAGAGCTGGGGCCTGCTGAGAGAGCTGGGGCCTGCTGAGAGGGCCAAACAGGGGTCAAGACAAACTGTTCTCTTGACGTACGTTTCTCGTACGTTTCCGCTGTGTGAGAACACCCACTATAAAACAAACACCTTTTCTGTTTAAAAGCACTTCACTTCCCTGCTGCTGACCTCCTTGGGAACACACCCGGGGCAAGTCACTCAAGAAACTATTAAAGCCACAGCAGCAGTTGACCCACAGCCAGTGCTGCCCTACAGGGCCTGCGGCGCTGGGCTGAGTAACTGCCCTTTTAGCTCTTCGTTTTAATGTAAACACCCACAGTCATGTATTTTATCAGGAAAGGGATCACACCTGGCATGCTATGTTGCAATCCACTCAACAATTTTCTAAGCTTTCCCATGCCACTAAGTATTTTACAGTACGATTTTTAACAGAAAAATTGACTTTACACATCTTAATACCCACTAAACCCACACACACAACACTCTTTAAAGAATCTCAGCCAAAAGTCTTGCTCTAACTTGACATTTTAATTAGCTGAAATTGAAATAATGTGTCAAGTGGTTATGGTACTGAACAGGGTGGCTCCCAAAAATAATTGTTAAATATCTCCTCCAGTCAGCAAGTCAGAGCTGTTTACTCCAAGCACGAATCCTGTGGAGTGGTAAATAGTGTGCATTCGCTTAGCAAGCAGATTAAAGTGTGTGAATGGTCACACACCCCCCTCCCCCACCCTGACTCACACAAGGAGGATGATAAACTGCTTCATCAGTCTGACAGCCTGCTGTCCAAACAATGCCACCAACACCCTCTTACAATGGGTGGGGGACGGCAGGCAGGGCAACGGGTGCGAAAGTCAGAAGGAACAACTCTTTTACTTCAAGTCTGTACTCGACCCAAAGGCATCCAACAATATACTAGAACTGTCGCTGCCGAGAACGGCTCAAATTAAAGAAAATGCAAAAGATGTGAACATGCAGGTTCTCTGCTGCCAGAGACAAGTCTTCATCCCATTGAACAAACACATCTCTGCGTCAGCAAACCACCTCCACCTTCCCCACTGCTCCAACACAGGAGAGTGTCTGTTCTACCGGGACACTGACAGAAACCGGCCATGAGGGGAAAGGCTCATCTGAAGGAGACAACTTTGGGCGGCCGTGCTTATGACACACTCTGGGGCATGCACACTGTGAGGACTCGGACACCGGGGCACACCCACACTGAGGGAACACGCACACTGCGGGGGCAGCCCACACCGCGGGGACTTGGATACTGTAGAGACACCTACAGCACAGGGACACACACACTGCAGGAACATGTACACTGCGGGGACAGCCCACACCGCAGGGACTTGGACACTGCAGGGACACCCACTGTGCAGGGAACTGAGCACGGTAGGCACACCCACACTGAAGAGACTCAAGATGCCCCTTCTCTCAGGACAGAATGCCTGAGTGTCCCTGGACGGGCAAAACGGTCTTCAAACAGGAAGCCACGCCTTTCTCGGGGACACTGCACTCCTTACACTTCCACTCATAGACTTCCCTTCGAGGCCAAGCCGGTTCCTAAAAGGACAAGGGAGCCTTCCCTCCATCTTCCAATCTTGCCACAGACCACGCCTGCAGGTGGAGCTGAGCCCGGGTGACGGCTTTCGCAGCTGTGTCTGTGACGTCCACAATATTACACTGGAGAAGACCGTGGCCCATTAGTCCTAACGCACAGACTCTGACCGTTTTTCCTCACGATGTGGTTCAAAGCTGACGGCTGCAGAGCAGCGCGGGTGGCCACTGAAATAACGACACAGGAACTGCTGGAAGGTGGGGACACGGCCAACAGACACGCAAGGCAGGTCTTGAGCACACGTGCCACCACACCCCCAGGAGACCCGGGGAACTGAGTAAAACCTCCCCCAGAGACCCCCGCGGTGAGGAAAAGGCACGGGAGAACTCAACAAAGGACAGAAACCTCTACTTGCGAACAGGGCTGCTTCGGTTTTGGGGGGCTTTTTAAAGAAAAAGATAATGGTCTCCTTCCACTTAAACATTAACCTTAACCTAAAGACAAGAATCATCAAACCTGCAGACATTTCTAAGCTGCCCTTGCCCTCTATCGCTGCTATACTGTCCTCCCCAGGAAGCCACAAGTGGCAAGTGACCCTGTACTAGAAAGTAAACCAGAGCGAGCCGCTGCAGCCACAGCAACACCGCGCGATGCTGGGGACACGGGGGCTGACTGAGGCGAGCAACGGCCGTGCAGCTGGGAGTGGGCACCTGATTCCCCCTCAGCTCATCTCTTCAGTCTGAGCTCCCTGAATGATTTCTTCCTTTCATGCTTTTCAGTAAGCTGCTGTTAGTACTCAGAGACCATGAAAACCCTTCTAAGGAAGCAGTAAGCTGGTGTTACCACATTCTTGTACTCAAGTTTTTAGCAAACGGCCGTCAAGCCTATTCTGACTCTTTTAACTATTAGCCAAGACAGAGCAGAACCACTTAAGGTTTTCAGGTCTATAAATATTTTCTCCCTTGGGGCAGTAAGTAGATTTGAACTTCTGACCTTTCAGTTAGCAGCCCACTGCATAATCCACTGTGTAACCAGGGTTGCCCAGATCTATACTAGCTAGGCTGAGAATAATGGAAACGAAGGCCTCGCACTTTTAAGGATCAAATCTTATTCAGAAAAGAGCATAAACCCCAGTAACGAGAACTGTCAAGGAGGGTCAGACCCACGTCAGACGCAGGCAAACCATCAGCCAGCAGTGTTGCAGGGCACGTGATTCTGAGATCGGCCAAAGGGCATTTTTCTGTACTGACAGGTTCATTCAGTAGCCTTTTAACCAGCTAAATGCTCACCCCTAATTAAACCTTTTTTGATCCTGTACTTAAATTATTTCACTGACAGGACTGATCCAGCATATGTATATCACATATTTAACTGGTTTGTTTTACTTTTTTAGAAAGCCTTCAGATTTGTTTTATTATCTGTTGTATCTAGTGAGGCAGACATGTAATTCAATAAATATTAAACTACAAAACAATTTTTTAAGTTCCAAGTTCAGGGCATCATCCTTGGATGTGACAGTTCCATGAAGAACTGTGTATTTCCCAAAAATCCAGATCATAGTTGCAGTAGGCCTGCTGACTGACAGTCCTGGAAGGGCAGGGCTGGTGAAACAGCAGTGTGACCCCGACATCCCAGACCCGGATAGGGGTGGCCACTTATGTAAGAGGGCTCGGAATTTCATTTTTTTGGGGGGGGGTTTCATTTTTTAAGGTGAAAATCTTACCAGGATTAACACACATTTTTTACACCAAAAATGTAAATGCAACATAGTAATTACTTGTTTTAAAAGATGGGTCCATTTCAAATTCTCACTTCACGCAATATACCCTGTAACAGTAATGCAAAAAGTGGAAACCTCACCTTAGGAAAAGCTTCACTACATCACCAACAGCGCTTCTTAGGAAACTACAGAATACAAGTGCCCAGTAACAGAAGTGCTTTGGTTAAACAGGCATGAAAACCTACATACGCCGCCTACTACCTGAGCAGACCAAAGGTCCTGGCAAGTAGGATGTCTCCTATGCAACCGCGCGCACACTAAGATCGTCAAGCACACAAGGAGCTGCGCTGAGGTGCTCGAGTGTCAGTGGTTTGGTTTTTCTTTCTCACCTAGTCAAGTTTTAAAAAACGGCAATGTTTTTGCTGGCCTGAATTATAAAGTAAAAAGTGCTCCTTGTCGGCTATTTTAGAAGGGTGGCTATGACTGCGATCCAGAAGACAAATCTTAGGGGAGCTCTGGTGGCCTAGTGGCAAGAAACTGCACTGCAATCCCAGAGGCGCACGGTTCAAATCCACCAGACGCTCTGCTGGGAAAAGGAGGGACAACCTCTCCTCCTGTACCAGTCAGATCCGATTTGACGGTATACACACACACACACACACACACACACACTAATAAAATAATAATAAAAAACTGTCAATAATCAGAAGACAAATCTTCAACTACAATGAAAATCGAGCTTGTAATTCCCTAACTGCGTACAAAGTTCAAGCCCAAACCCCCTGGGGCTGCCACGCAGAACAGACTCCCTGACAGTCGCTGGGGTTCCCAGGCGCGGGCCGCGTGGCAGGACATCATTCTTCTCCCTTGGAGCAGCTAGTGAATCTGAGCAACCAGAGATTTTCAGCACCACTGCCTACAGACAAAGGCACCAAGCTCCATCTGTCTGCACAGGAAGGTTATGTGTTAACTGTAGCTACAATGTCTTCACATGTAGCCAGATAAATGCTTTCTCTACAGGGTCTAATAATTTAGTCCAAACAGAACTATTTTAGGGACAAGGCAAAAAGACCTTTCTTTATTCTCTAGTTATGTATAAAAAAGGAGAAAAGAGAAATTCAGGTCAATATCCCCTACACTTGCTCCTGCCACCTGGCCAACAAAGGTCCTCCTCTAGCCGACTGGGTGAGCACGGACTCGCCCGACAACGATGGAAGCTTCCAATCAGATTCAGTGACCCTGGATGCAGGCCTGGTGATACGTGGTTAAGTGCTTGGTTACTAGCTAAGAGGTTGATTGCTGGACCCCGCCATTGCTCTGCAAGAGAAAGCTGGGGCAGTCTGCTTGTGTAAGGATTCACAGCTCTGGGAAGCCACTGGCAGTTCCACGCTCTTCTCACAGGGTCGCTATGACATGTTCTCAAATGCAATGGATTTTAGTTTGAGGTTGACGCTCTGTTATGAACTGAACTGGGTTTGCCAGGCTGCGGGAACAACCACACCTAGGAGCAGGCTGTCCTGAGACAAATGATGTCTTCTGTTACTGAGACAAAATGAGTGAAGAGTATATCCTGAGTCAATCTCTTGAAAAATCAAAGAGATTAAAAGCACACTGGCAAGCTGAGATGAACGCACATGAAGATGGCCTGGGAGCAGACTCCAAAGAAGCAAGGACCTTCCTCCAGAGACTAGGAAAAAAGCTTTCCCCGAGAGCAAGGATGAAACAGCTTTAAAGAGCGAGGATGTCAGACTAAAGACTGAGGTGCACCTGGGGCAAAGCTGGAATATTTTTAATGAGGCTGTATATGTATGTGTGTGTGTATACATGAAAATCAGTCAATGAATAGGGATGAAGAACTGATGCCTCCGTGTTGGGGTACAGAAGATCAACAGCCAGTGTCCCAGAGACCGCCAAAAGTACAACAAATATGACTTGGACAAAGTGCAACCAGAGGCTCTTTAGAGACAAGGACAGTACAACTTGGTCTCATACTCTGGGCAGGCTGTCAAGAGGCGCCAGTTTGTAGAAAGGCACATCGTGCTGGGAAAGATGGAGGGCAGGTGAAAGAAAAGAAGACCCTCAAATGATGTCCTGACCGGGACTGAAACCACGGGCTGGGGTGTGTCAAAGATGGTGAGAACGGTCACAAAGGACAAACGCTTTTATATGTAGAGCCAATTACTATAAAAAGGCAAGAAAAGGTTTACTCATAGGAAAAAACTCTTTGAAGAAGGAAAAGGCAATAAAAGGGAAGGTTAGCACAAGACAAAGAAGAGAATGAGAGGAGCGTAAGAGTTATGTTGTGCACGTAAAATGATTATACACCAATCCTGTAATAGCATGAATAATAATCTACTGGTGGATATATGCGCATTGAAGGTGAACAGGAGTGTGAAGGCAGTGGGACTACAGCCACAAATAGATGCAGCTTTGACAGAGGGCACTTACACACATATAGGCTGTAAATATACCAAGAAAAGAGAGCACACAGGGGTAAAGTCATGCAAACTTAGCTGTAGTTATACACCCTGAGGGAAAGAATCACTGTGTCCACGGCCTCAGACTCAGAACTTGAAGGGTAGCTGGCACAACACAGTCCACAAATACAACGCTCCAAAGTGCAACGATAGCTCTTTCCCATCCAGAGCAAAGAAGAGTGACGAAAATCAAAGACTCAAGGAAATGGTTAGTCCAAAGACCTGATGAAGCCCAAGAACCACAGCCTCCCCAGCCTGAGACCAGAGCAGCCGATGGTAACTGGCTACCGCCGCAAAGTGCTCCAATGCAGATGATAACAGGTCTCCAGACAGAGGCGGGGGAAATGTGGAACAAAACTGAAGTTCATAAAAAAAGACCAGACTTACTGGGGTGACAGAGACTATTAGAAGCCTTGGACACGCCTCAAACCCAGAAACAAATCCATTGGCAGAGATCCCCTTTCAACCCAACAACCACAGAAATGAACAGTATCATCCAGGAGGAATGTACTCCTCCCTACAAGCACCTATACAAGACTGAAAGGACAGTATTTGCCCCCAAAACAAAGCTCAGAAAACAGGACGGGTCAGGAAAGATGGGTGAATGAAAACAAGAAACCCAGGAAGGGAGTGAGAAGGTGCTCTTTTATTGAAGGAATGAAAACTAAGGCCAGGACGCTGTTGAACATAAAATGAATCTGCTCTCTAAACTTTCCTCCAACCTACAATAAAATATTCAGCCAAAATCAAAACATGAATCCACTCACAAGATCTCAATGGCTGTTACCAGAACCCTCATCCAGAGGCCTGGCCACACAGCAGTGCCATGAGACATTCTTAGAAAAAGCCTTGAAGGAACCAGTTATTAATCTAATCCTCTCCTCTTCCAGCAAATGGACTGGGGGGTGCGGGGATGGTCCGGTACACAAAACAAGAACATGAATAAATTCTTATGCTATCAGAGAGTTGGACAATGACTAGGGAGGACAGAAGGAGAATTGATGCCTTTGAGCTGTGGTGCTGGAGAAGAGTATTGAATGTACCCTGGACTGCCAAGAAAACAAACAGATTCATCTTAGAGAGGGTTAAACCAGGCTACTGCTTGGAGGCAAGGATTCTGGGGCTTCGTCTGACATACTTTGGACATGTTGTAAGGAGGGACAGGCCTTTAGAGAGGGACATGAGGCTGGGTAGAGTGGGGGGACAGCGCAGGAGGGGAAGACCCTCTATGAGGTGGATTGATTCAGTGACTGGGGTAATCGGGATGGGTGTGTCAGAGGCAATGAGACTGGCACAGAATAGAGCAGGGTTTAGGGCTGTTGTACACAGGGTCACTATGAGTCGCAAGCGACTTGACAGCACATAACAACAGCAACAACAACACTGAAAGTTGTCTCCAACACAAGATGAATTATTTTGGAATCAACCACTGGAAGGTGTGGAAGATGTTTTCGTTGTTAGGTGCCACTGAGTCAAGTACAAACCATAGCAACCCTGTGAACAACAGATCTGAACCTCGTCCTCTCCTGTGCCACCCTCACACCTCCTGACACACCAGAGCCCACTGTGGGAGTCACAAAGGATGAGAGTGTCAGGGGTTTATGGGAAGCATACAGAGATTTGTCTTCTTAGGGAATCCTCCTCCATCTGCTGACTGTCGCGGCTGGTTTTGGGAGCTGCCCATCACCTCAGATGGAAGCGGAACTCTGAGACGACAAAGCTCGCATCCTTTGGGACTCGGTAGCTCACACTCACAACCAGGCAGCGATCAGGTAAGAGCAGCAAGCGGGAGAGCTTCACATGAATATTCCACACAGACCACCACCGAAACCAGACATTCTGGTTTAGCCCGGCTCTCCCAAAAGCGCAGGAACAAGAGGTTTGGGGTTAGAGGGTCAGAATAAGAGGTCAGAGCTGAGCCGCTGCACCAACTGCTGGGCCAAAAATGAGTCTTTACTTCCAACGAGCCTCTTAGCACTCCTGTTCTCACGCTGACGACTGTCACTGTCAAGTTCTTTGCCATGTAAATATAAGAACACCTCTATGAACTCAGATTTCAAAATAATAATCTTATATAAGAGGGTACAGCTTAAAACTGTTATCAGATCCCAAAGAGGAGGAGGATAAGTTTTTGTTTTGTAGGAAATGACCACCAACTACTCCCTACAGTGAAAGAGCAGGACCTCCCGCGGAGGAGACAGGGCGCGCGTCCTCACCTGGGCAATGGCGGCTTTGTTGTCGGCCAGCCCCAGCAGGAAGATCCGCACTTTGTCGATCTTCACGGGCACCGTCCTCCCTCTCCACTCCACCTCGCTCATGGTAGCGGCCTGTTTCGCTCGAGTCTGACTGATCAGCGACTGCAAAACAGTATCAAAAGTTAGAGCTTTAACTTTAGGATGAATGCAGTAGATGAAAAGAAGTGGAATACAGAAGCTGTGTCTTTCTCATTCCTTTTCCCATTGTGCTGTTGGTAGAAGTTTAACCACTTTATGCTTCTCCTCAATTTCCACAAGTTCCAGTGTCACTGGCTACATTCTTCACAATGTGTAAACATTCTCATTATTTCTGCTCTCACTGTTGCATTTCCACTAATCTAGTTCCCTTGACTCTCCTTCCTTTAAAGCCGTCATTAATCATTTGGTCTCATACAGGCGATTTTTTCAAAGAAGCACTGTACTTAGGGGTGGTATTAATTTTTTTGAGCCAATCCGTGAAATTAAACTACAAAGTCACCTCAGAGATCCGTAGACAGTTCCACATTTTCCTCCCATTTCTCTGGAGTTCATCTAGCAATTACTATTGATAGTTGACTACCACTGAGTTCCTCTGGTGGTCTGTGTATATGATTTGTCCTGGACACTAGTCTCTTCTTTGGGTCTCTGGGTTCCTTCTATTTTGCTCCAGATGAGTAAAAGCCAATAGTTTTACTAGGAAGCTACTCTCAAGATTTTATGATTCAATACAATATTCATCAAACTAGTGTATAAAACCTAACAATATGAACTCTGTCATGTCAACAGACTGAGATACCCTGAGACTATGGTCTTAACTCTTCAACAGAAATGGACTCCTGAAAAATGTCTGCTGCTGCATTTCTGAGGGTTTACTATGCAGATGAAAGCGTATGCATAAAGTCACACACACCTACAAAACGGCAGAACCTAAGCAAGACAGAAGCTGTTAAGAGAAAGAAAAACTCAAGTATTTTCCACTGATAGTAAGAGAAGAGTGGTAAGACTCTACTCAGTCAGCGGCAGAAAACGTGAGATCGGGAGAAACACATCAGTCCTGCTGACTCCTGGTTCTGAGAGGTTCACCGTAAACACGCACACTCACATCAGAACAGTCTCACATTAAAAATGTCCCTTTATTGTCAACTTTTATTTTCACATTATAGACTTTACAAATCTACATTTACTTTCATCTCCTCGTCCGTATCATGGATCATCTACGGGAACGCAAATGTCAAAAGCGTCGAGGAAAAGCCAGACCACGTTTAGAAAGGTGTGAGGAGGAAGGTATATCTGTGTGTACATGGCAAGTGAAGACAGAAATTAGGAGACATTTACTTAAAGACATTTGTCAATACGTAGCAAAAGCTTCTAAACATTTAATTCCACTTTTGGAATTTTCTCGAAGGAATTAAGTAAGGACGCAAGCAAGAACCAGGAACAAGGATTTTCCAGGCAGTTCTATTTACCACTTAAACAATTAACAATAGAAAGCAGCTAACTAAAAAGGACTTCCTTCATCTAGTGGAGGAGCACACAGCCACGAGAACACGCCGACGCAGCTTCTGCACACACACAGAGAAAATGACCAAAGTACAGAAACGGATTGAAATGGGGGAAAAGGTGTATGTAAAGCATTTAAAAGCAAGCTGCATAACAGTATGAATGGATTATTTTTAAGAAATACATCCTTTTTTCCTGCCCAGAAGTCCGTAAGATCAGCATCTTAGTGAGTGTTACTTAGGCGGGAGGATAATGCATGCTCTGACTTTTACCCGTTTTCTCTATTTCTTCCTTTTTCTGGAATCAGTCAATATTATTTGCATAGGAAATGTAAAAAATTAAAAATATCAAATATTTATATTAACTGACCCAAACCAGTATTTTTCTAAAACATAGAGATAAAATACATATATTAATAGCAGCTATACCTGTATGATAGGATTATACAACGGATTATTGTTCTAACTTTTTCAAAACGCAAATGTGCAGACAATGAGTTACCTCCAGCTTTTCTGCCAGGAGACCCTCGGTACCTCCGGATCTCAATCTCATCTGCATCAGTTCATTGATGGCTGACTGGTCCCCTGAAAGGAGAGAGAGCTTCAAGGGTCTGGTCTCTCAAGAACTGCAAGATTCAGCAAGGACTTAAAGGGGCCTCCCCCCATTCACAGGCATTTAAATGACAGCCTCTGAAGACTGAGACCTTTTCCAAAAAAGAACTTGACCAGAGAGAACAGACTGATCTCTCGTGATGCACAGAAGATGGCAGGAAGGAACAGAAGCAAAGCAACTGCCTTGTGCAACTATTCTGAGCAGGACTGACTGTGAAATCACACTCTGTCATTAAAAACCCATGCCAAGGATGGATGGTTGAACACAAGGGAAGGGGAAGAAAGTCAAACAAGTCTGGAGGCTCGCTGAGGCTGAGACCCACCGGGCCACCTGCCACCCTGAGGCGTGTGGGAGCCTGGTCCCTGCTCACCAATGTTGTAAGCACAGTAGCGGATGTTGGGTGAAATCTCCTCCACACGCTGATTATACAGTACAGCTTGCTCTTCTGTGAACGCGCTGGCTAGTTTCTCGTAGATGGTTCTGGGAGGAAAGAAATGCCAGGTTTCACAGTAGCCTTATTTTTTTAAAAAATACACTCACCAGGGACACAGTGGCTAACAACAAACATGGCCCTGTAAAGATCTTCTATCAGCGACCAGAACTGGCATGAGGCTTGAACTGTGTGTCTCCCAGGGGAAAAGTGTCCTGATGGAACACGAGGATCGCAGCCTCCTGACCACGAGGCCAGACGAAGTAGATGGTGCTCGGCTACCACTACCGACTGCTCTGAAAATGATTACATCAGAAGGTCCAGCAGAGTGCGAGAGAAAATGGAATAACTAGGAAATCATAAAAAATACAGACTGCGGGCAAGCTCTGGTGGCCTAGTGGAAAGAAGCTGCAACTACAGTCTCAGAGGTGCATGGTTCAAATCCACCAGATGCTCTGCTGGAGAAGGAGGAACAATCTCCTCCTGTACCAGTCAGATCTGATTTGACGGTACACACAAAAAATAATGAAATAAAATAAATTAAAAAAAAATACAGACTGCGGGCACCCTGGAGACTCTATAGTTACAATCCCAATTGAGAATGGATTTGTGTGTTCTGTCAATGGGAGTATTTGTTTAGGGTGTATCCTAAACCAACCTCTTCGGAGATACAAGAGATTACTCGAGCAAGTGACACACACGTGGGGGAAGATGGATACCACGTGACACAAAAGCCACTAAGGAACCGAGGAACAAAGATGATCCCTGGCTCCCTGGATTTAGAACTCTAGCCTCCCAAACGGTCACAGAACACATGTGTTGCTGAAAGTCATGACTTCTGGGATTTCTGTTGTGGCTGCACCAGAGAACTGAGACAGCATGTTCTAAGGAAGAGAAAAGATGAATCAATATTTCTAGGTGGGGGGTGGGCAGTGGAGGAAAGAACTGTCCTCTCTCGCACAGAAATAAGCCACAGATTACCTGAAGCCTGAACTGATGGTAGTAATAGGAAGTGACTAAAGCTTTTGCACTGAACTCACTTGCATTTGTTAAAAGCCTCAATAGCGGATTTCCATTCCTGATGTTCAAAACGCAGCATTCCAGCGAGATAAGCTGTGTAGGCCTGTAAGAGAGCGGGGGGGGGGGAGGACTCAGAACCACAGAGCCGCCAACACTCTCCCACGCCTGCTTCCACCCCTAGCATCAAGAACACAGCCATATCCTGGCTGACTTCTACACAAAAACCTACTTCATGAATAAAAGGGAGAGTGCGCATCAGTCAGAGACTGATTTTACTTTCTTGGAGAGAACTTCAAAATGTGGTTATTTTCATTTTACTTTAATAATCACATTTTTAGTTGCAATGTAAGAATCCATAGTTGAATATAAAATTGCAACATCCATCATGTCTTTTTAAGAAGTTCTGTAAGAGAAATGATTTCTTCTTTTGTGAACTTGCCCTAGTACAAGATGCAAGTTTTTCAACCATGTATTAATTACAGTTAACTATCAAAATCCAGGAGCTCAAAACCAAAAGCAAGAAGAGGCAATTTCACCTTCTAGAAGATCTGAAGTTTGTACAACAATCAACGAATATTGGAAAAAAAACAACAACCCCAAAACAACAAAGAAAGTGAACTAGGGTGGGGAGTAGAGGGGGGGAGAAAATTGAGCAAATCTAACCTTTCTGTAAACTTTTGTCAAAATCACAATTAAAACAAAAAAATTTTATTTAAAAAAAAATCTGAAGTCTGTTTTTTTTCTTCTTCCCGACTAACAATCTGTAATGTTACGAAGTTCTGGTCTGTTTAACTGCAGTTTCTGTATTTTGTTTAAAGCCACATTCTCTAATCTCCACGATAAAGCAAGGCTGGGTGTGCAGACACTAGCCTGGGCCTCGAGCTTGGTCTTGGCGTCCACCCGATTGCTCTCACACAAGCGTTCCAACTCCTCCGCGTGCTTCACCGCTTTGCGTAAGCGAGACAGCAAGTGAAAGCGCTTCCGGGGCTCGGTGTTGGCTTCTTGCTTGAGCTGCATGGCGTAGCTCCAGGCTCTCTCGGCATCCATCAGAACCAACAGCAAGTATCTACACCAACCAGAGAGAAGAAGGACACTGAGCAAAGGCCAGGAACACAGACCCAGACACATCTGTGACGGGACCCTCCTCAGACTCTCGCATTTCTATCTCCTCCCTCAGAACTCCTCTTCCTAGTCTCAGCCATGGCTCTAAGTCAGCATCTCTGGTCCCAACTCACACTCTGCCTGATTTCTGATCACCTAGTCACTGAAAGGATATAGCAACTCTGCACAGGTCCAGGCAGGGCTTCATCCTGTAGTAGTCCACAGGGGTCACTACGCAATGGACACAGTGTGTCAGAAATGGTGATGGCAAAGGAGAGGGCTCAGATCTGTTGTTAACAGGGTCAACCAAGAGTCGTATTCTCGACTTGATGGACAGCCGTGACTAAGAGCCAATTCAAAGGCACCTGCAACTCAGTGAAGCACCAGCCACTACCACAGGCTTGGTCAGCCCAGGCTCGTGGCCTGCTCCTCCCCAGTCTAGTTTAACAGTGGACCATAACAGAGGACTGGGGTGGCATCCAGCAAAGCCTCACATCTGAAACAACACCTCCATCAACTCAGAGTGAATCCTGAAGAGAAAGTGGTGTTGTAACATTGGAGAGTGTGGGCCCTAGACCAGGACGCCTGGGCTCCACTCTCAGTGTCATCATTCGAAATGCTGAGCACAATGCGAACCTCTCTGTGCTTCACTCTCATCAGTAGGCTGGTCCCATCTCAGAACAGCTTCTGTGACTTACCGAGGGTTCAGGAAGAGTGCGCTGCTCTATTTTATCATGATGCTGGTGAATCTTTAAACTGCAACTTTGACTAATTTTCCTTAAAGTTCCGCTTTACCTTAACTCTTTAATAAAAGATCTCTCTAACAGTCTACACCTCTGTACTTAATTCTCTGACTTGCCCGAAACTGACTTCATCATATCTAACCAACACATCCTGCTACTTCCCGTTCAGTGTTCATAGGGTTTTCAAGAGTTTGTGGACTGATGTGCATCTGATTTGGGCCATGGTCTTTGCAATTACTTGCTATGCATCTGAGAGCTGGACAATGAATAAGGATAGAAAATGAATTGACGCCTTTAAGCTGTGGTGTTGGAGAAATGCACTGAACATCCCATGGACAGCTAAGAGAACAAACAGATATGTTCTGGAGAGGGTGCAGCTGGAGTGCTCTTTGAAGGCAAGAATGATGAGGCTTCACCTCACCTACTTTGGGCATGTTGCTAGGAGGGGCTACTCCTTGGAGAAGGACACAGTGTTGGAAGAGTGAAGGGTTGGCAAAGGAGAGGAAGGACCCTCAACCAAGTGGACTGACACAGTGACTGCTGCAAAGGGCTCTTGTGTGTCAGGAAGTGTGAGGATGGTGCAGGATAGAACAGGGTTCTTTTGTTCACAGGGTCACTATGAGTCATACTCGACCTGACGACACCTACAACAACAACTTCCCATTTGGGAATCCAACCCCATCTCCCGAGTCATCCAGACACCACTGTAAGCATTTGCCTTGACACAGATGTCCTTTCCTCGCACCATTCACCAAGGTCCAGCCTCCTCCAGGCAGGCACCCTGGCTTCTCCCTCAGTCAAGTAAGCCCTTCCTTCTGAGCCTTTAGCATTGTTAAGAGTAAATGGCACACAATGTAGCCCTTGTGCTACCCTGGAGTGTTTCTTGGTTTTATATGTTAAACAGTAAGTCTCAACAAGACCAAAGGCAACAGGGTTCAAGAACTTGGCCTCCTATCTTAGTCTGGCTTACAGTCAGCCCTGGCCAAATCTGAGATCGGGGCAGCCTTAAGGCTCAGTAGGAATTGTCTCAGGCTCTGCAGGTCAGATGATCACTACTGTTTTGCCGTAACAGTGTGACTGTACATCTAAGTGAATAAATGAGCCCAGGTTCCAATAACATTTCATTTCTAAAAACAAGTGACAGGAGGTCCGGTTTGGCTTTCACGTTAGAAGAACTAACTTTCCAGTTAGAGGAACTAACTTTGAGACTTTCAAACATACTGCTTGACAGATTAATCCTCCAACATATGAGAAGCATTGGTATATTTCTTAGCACTGAGCCACAGAACTCTTCTGAAATTACAGTCAGTTCTCACGTATCTTGATTTAAGCCTTTAGACCTAAAATTCTGCATTCTAGAAAACTTACCTTAACCGATTAGGTTTCTAATCACTGACTTGTGTTTACCATCCACCACACACCTTGAACAAGTTACTAAATCTCTTTGACTAATACTCTGCTAATCCTGTAATGTAAGAACAATGAAAATACCCCGTACAGTCCCTGAAGGAAGCACATGAGCTATTAAAGCGCTTGGCACAGCGTCTGGCCCTTGGAAGTGTTCAACAAACGAATTAGCAAGTTTCTACAGCACCTCGCACCAAGCCAGCCAATACCTGCTATCGGTCAGAAGGTCCTCGGTTACCTTCTTCCCCGTGAACTTGTGTCGATTCCCCATCTTGAAGTTGAGGGTCTTCCGGAGACGTCTCTGTCTACGGGAACAATAACCCCTAGAAGAAAAAAGCACAAGCAAAAAGTCATTGGTAGAGTTTTAAATAGGAAATTCTGCAATAATTTTAGGGGTAGTCTATATATGGTTTGCTCTGCTGTACACAGGGTTTTCGAAGGCCTATTATACTTCTGAAGTGGATGGTTAATTCTTCCTAGCCTGTCTTAATTTGGATGCTTAGTTTTAGAACAATATCTGACAGACAAGCATTTTACCAAGCACATAAAAGACACTTCCCTTACAGAAATAATGAATACATTCACTGTCATGTGTGTGTGTGTGTGTGTGTGTGTGTGTGTCCGTCCCCCACCGCCATGACTGGGCCAACTGGCAACACCATGATAGATGGAGAAGAGATTGCGATTGTTAACAATTACAGCTTGCTCGACTCTACAATCAACACTCTTAACACCAGCAGTCCGGAAATCAAAAGACTAATTGTATTGGGTAAATCTGCTGTCAGGGACCTCCCCTGTATGACATACAATGATGTCAGTATATGATGTGCCTAATCCAGGCCACAGTCTTTGTAATTAGCTGTTATGCTTTAGAAAGCTCGACAATGACTAAAGATGACAGAAGAAGAATCAATGCCTTCAAGTTGTGGTACTGGAGAAGAATCTTGAACATAGCATGCACCGCGAAGAAAACAAATAGGTCTGTCTTGCAGAGGGTGAAACCACATCTCTTCTTGGAGGCTTAGGATTTTGAGGTTCCGTCTCACATACTTTGGACATGGGCCAGCAGAGACCAGTCCTTGGAGAAGGACATCATGTTTGGAAGGGTAGAAGGACCGCGCAGGAGAGGAAGACCCCAGATGAGATGGACTGATAAAGTAACTGGGGTAATGGGGGTTGGTATGTTGGAATTAGTGAGACTGGCTCAGGACAAGGCAGGGTTCAGAGCTGCTGTACACTGAGTCACTATGGGTCACAGGTGCCTTGATGGCAAATAACAACAACATGTGGTTTGAGCATGGCAGAGATTGCAAGGATGGCACAAAATAAACCCAAGTTCCGATGGTCATTATGAGGACACCTGATGACATGTAACAAAAACATGGTTTCTTTACTATACATAAGTCATGTTTCACTTCGCAAAGACTGAACAGCTAAAACATGATTGGAATTCAGAAGCATAAAGGTAGAAGGCAGACTACCCACTCTAAAGGAAATGTACTCTCTAGCTGGACAGGACTGTGAAGATAAAAGGACAACCAAGAAAACATGACACACGTCTAAGTGAATGGCAACTGCATCAGCAGGCAGACTGGGAGGGAGGTAACTGAGGGCAGGAGGCATTGGGAGAGAGGAACTGCGAGCCTATCTGAATTAAACAGCGTCCAATCAGGATACGACCCAGGAAGACTCCAAATGTTGCCGCTAGGAGACGGTGCCCGCCTCTGGGCTCAGGCAGCTGCATTACGTCAGGTTCTGACACAAGCAGATGATCACCTCCAGTCTACAGCGTAGGAAGGATCCCCACGCTAAATCCCCCGAGTGCTTTAGCACCCTGTGAGCCGTAAACATACGTGTTAAAGAAATGCGGTTGACAAAATGAGATTAACATGCTCATATGAGACTTAGACACAGACCCACACATACGTATGTATGTTGTATATATTATTGTCATGTGTCATCAAGTTGGAACCAACCCATGGCTGACCCTTCAGTGGGTTTTCAGAGGCTGTACAGCACCACGGGGGAGGAGAATGCTCGTGTGTACGTTCTTTCTGTTGGGTGCCGTTGAGACAGTACCAACCCATGGCTGACCCTCCAGTGAGTTTTCAGAGGCTATAAATCATACAGGAGGACAGTCCACCTTTCTCCATGGAGTTGCAGGAGGGTCTGAACCATGTGCTTTCGGAACTGCAGCACAGCTTCTTACCATTAGGTCACCAAAGCTCCCTCCCCGTACACATATATCCTTTTAAATCAAAAGAGGGGCCCTTGTGGCACTGATTAAAGCAATCAGCTGCTAACCAAAACACTGATCGTTCAAAGCCACCAGCCACTGTGAGGGAGAAAGATCCCCACAGGGAGGTGAGAACAACCCCTTCCTGAAGGGTCACTATGATCAGAACTGATTAAATGGCAATGAGGTGTTTTTCAGAGTAAGTGGAAATAATACAGCAGATCATTTACAATATAAAATGATACTTGGCCCCCCACCAACCAATTTCTGCAGGTCTGCAACTGCATCCCTACCCATCCTCACCCTTCTGCCCCCAACCCTCACCTCCTTGTACCCCCAATTTGTTTTTCCTCCAATTAAAAAAAATGGTACTTGGATGACGCTTCAGCATTTAAGTAATTCTCAAAGCTACTAGCTAGCATACAGATTATTAAACAGAAGAAATAATACTCTGCTTTAATCTATGAACCAGACATCCCCCTCAACTCCTAGTATGACTCTAATCATCACTTATCTTTTTGTGGAATGCTCACGCCTGTACACTAGTATAAACTGGAAAACCTTTCCTGGCAAGATTTCTCAAAATCAGATTAGAAATGTTCCTATCCCACGAATGGCAGTCTATGTTGTCTCTGTGCTATCAAGTCGGCGCTAACACGGTTACTCAACGTCTGAGCAGAGCTGATGATGGCACACTTTGTAGGCTGTGGTCTTTACAGGAACAGACTTTCAAGTCTATTCTCCTACAGGGCAACTGATGGACTCAAACTACCAACCTTTTGGCTGGCAGCCTCGCATTTACCGTGTGTCACTGGGCTCTGTTTCTAATGGTAGCATTGGTAAAGCACAGCGAATATACCACAGAATGCCAAAGAATGAGCAAACCTGTCTTGCAGGCAGCAGGAGTGCTCCTTGGAGGTGATTATGCTGAGACTTCATCTCGCACACCGTGGGCATGTTATCAGGAGGGGTGCATCTCTCAGACAGGACAGGCTTGAACAAGCAGAGGACGTGGGCCGCGAAGGAGAGGAAAGCCCTGACTGAGACAGACTGACACAGTGCTGTCAACATAAGCACCGGAGAGACAGGGTGCGCAGGGCTGGGCAGAGCTGCATCCTGTCGTACAAAGGGTCGCTAGGAGTTAGACGGACCCTAACAAATTTTTTTTTAAAAAAACAGTGTAAAAAAAAAGTATGAGACTCATTGGAGCAATTTTTTTTTAAGTTTGGGGTTGTTGTTTTTTTAATTTTATTATTTTTTTGTGGGTTTGTATCGTCAAATCTGATCTGACTGGCACAGGAGGAGACTGTCCCTCCTTCTCCAACAGAGCATCTGGTGTATTCAAACCATGTACCTTTGGGATTGCAGTGGCAATTTTTTTTTTAAATATAGAATACTTCACAAATATGCATGTCATCTGTGCGCAGGGCCCATGCTAATCTTCTCTGCACTGTCCTAATTTTAATATATGTGCTGCCAAAGTGAGCACAGGAACATTTTTAAGGCTACAAAATTTGTTATCACCTGAAGAATCAATTTAACGGAGGAAGGTAAATAAATTATGGTACATCCATACACACTGGGATGTTATACACCAAAAAATAAAATCCTGTTCAGGTGCTTTTTTACAGGCACAGAGAAATAAACACGATAAAATGTTCAACAAAAAGCAAGGCACAAAGTTGTATGTTCACTAGGATCAAACTTAAGAAAAAGTTTACAGATAGAAGACTGAAAATACCAGATGGTAGAGCAGGCAGAAATGTATTTCTATATGAGGAAGCCCTAAGGATGGGCTGGGAGCATGCGCACACATCTATGACACCAGTGAAGGAGAAAGGCCAGGAGCGGGCGGCTGAAACTGGCTCTCGCTTCTCTTGCCTTGGCTGACACACGATACACGACAATGCAGGTGATTCCTTCTGTAGATGAGTATGTGTTACTCTTTATATTTTTATTTTCACTTCTAAAACATGCTTAAGGAAATATAAGTGTCTTTTAAACCTAAGATGCAAAATTTTACTCTTATATATACAAACAGAAACATTTTTTAAAATCTGAAAGGAAATAGGCCAAAAATGTTGATGCTGCTTGGTTAACCATCATTTGGGTCACAAGCAGGTTCTTGTCTGTTAATCTTTTGTTATAACCATAATTTCTAGAAGTCCAAGGCGATAAGGAGGAGAGCTGGTGGTGTAATGGTAGAAGTGCTCAGCTGCTTACTGAAAGGCGGATGGTTTGAGCCCACTGCCAGACAGCTTCCATAATGCCACCCACGTTAGATACCTTACGGACGGACTATCCTGTTCTCCAGGGTTACTCGATCCTATGGAGTCCCTCTGTCCTTCAGGGTCGTTCCGACCTACAGGGTCACTCTGTCCTTTAAACTCTGTAGTGTTAGCCTAAAAGGTAGGGCTTATTTTTTTGGCCATTATGGTTAGTTTGCCCCACTGGTCTCCAGCAACCTGAACTGCAAGCATGTGGTCTTGCAAATCAGCATCAGCTGATAAAGAGAATGCTTCCTACCCTGGGCAGCAAGACTTGAGCTGAGCATGGCTTGTGATGGCAAGAACCCGGGGAGATCAAGACCCTAGTGGTGGAGAGACTGGCACTGCTGTGGACAAACGGTGGCCAAGTGTGACCCGAGGCTTCCTGCATTTGTGCTGGCCACCATTAAAGGCTTGGTTGTTCTTGTGGGGTTTAAAGGAGAAGCTGACTTGTAAGTCCTCTGAGGCAAACCTTGCTGGATGCTTTGGGTTTGACCGCTGAATTGAAACCTGAGGAAACTTCCTGAGGAATTGTGTCTTGTGCTGTCCAGCGAAAGCCTGGACCTGTACTGTGAGATACTCTTTGCCTCCTCTGCTCTCCGAATCATTTCCCTAATAAACCCCATTACTGGTGCTGTGACAGTGAGGCTGTGAGTCGGCCACGAACAAATGCCGCTCTACTGCTGGGGCTCTAGAGGCACCACAGGGCTGGGTTACAGGCTCTTTTCCTGTTTTCTGCTTTGGGGCCGTGACAGGCTGTGCTATTTTTACTCCCTCTGTCCCTTTCAGAGATGCTCATGTCCTGTTTTCTCCTCACTAG